ATTCATTGCGAAAATTGGCAACAAAAAAAAAAGAAGAGAATAAAACATGTACGTCTTAATAGTTATACTCAGGGCCAAAGGGTCAGGAAATCGTAGGACAGAGTCCTTGAGCATATGCAAGGCGATACGCGTGCGCTGTGCGTGCGCTGCGCATGTGTCGGCTGAGTGGAAGCCATTTACCCTTTTACTTCATGCAAAAGATGGAAACTATTTTTAGATTATAAAATTATAAATCTTTAAAATTTCTAAATGAATATAAATTATTCATAATTTAAGTAAGTTTAAAAGCTAACTTGATAATTGAAAGCTAAGAATTTATACCGTTAATTATTTGAGAATATCCGCTAAAGCAGAAAACGCTCAAAGCGTTCTCTTCAATTTTGTACATATGTAGAAAGAAGTGTGTATATTTCTTGTGCAGTGATTGATGGCATTAGAAAGGTGAAAGCTTTAGCCTGTTGTCCGCCTGTACGCCTGTTGTACACGTTGTTTGGCTAAACAAATTGTTTCACGGCAAAACAGCAAGTTGGAGAGAATGTTATTGAAAGTGCTGCGCACAAGTTCAGTTTTTTGCCCGCCTCTTTTTACATAAGCCAAAAATAGTTTAACATATGCTGTAAATTGTGGAGCAATAAATTCAACACCTGGCATATCATAGATATATAGTAGGGCGGCTGTCTCCAACACACCCTACCCCTTTCTTACACGACGCTATTTAAGCTGTCAACTTGTCAGCTGGAAAAAAAGAGTTCGCAAATAAAAACAAAAAAGTTCCTTAAGCCGGCAACAGCAGCTGCGAATAAGTGAGAGCGCGAGAAGTTGGGCCACAAAATAACAACAGGTGCGAAATAAAATACCAGAACTTACAGCGGACAACAGGCAGAGACAGAGCGGAGCGGGAGGGAGTAAACGAGAGAGGGAGAGCAACTAGCGTGGGGTAACCCACTGCTAACCACTTCCCCTGAATTGCTGGGTATGCAAAGAGATACGGTAAAGAAGCAAACGACAACGAAATAACAATGGAATGCGGTAGGCAAGGCCTACTGCCTGTAAAGGCAGCCTGGAAGGCTGAGTGACTAGCCCTTTTATTACTGTTGTCGTATTGTTGCCCCACACACAACGATTCGAGAGGGTCCAGATTCGAGAGTCGAGTGTATTCTGAAGGAAAACTTACAAAACCCAAAGGCAGGCAACAGTTGTAAATCATCGAATTACCTCAAAATAATGGCAATCGCAAAAACAACAACTCTGCAAAGAGAGTTAAACTTTTTATTGTTGTTGTTGTTGTTGTCTTTTTGCTACAGTCGACAGACGAAACTACAAAATTGCTTCAAGCAAAAGAGCAAAAAAAAAAAAAAAAAACGATGCGAGAAGCCAACAACTTTAACTTCTCAGTCGCGAAGCCACAAGGAGGGGGCGGCAGCGGCAGCAGCAGCGGCAGATTTATATACATACATACATACAAACATTTATATATATATATATGTACATGTGTATGTACTTGCTTAACTCACACAGACTCCGCTACGATCAGGCAACGTGCAACGTAGGAAACTACACACATACATACATAGTTTCTGACGACTTGCGAAATTAAGAAACCCTCCAAAAAAAAAACTAAAGAAGAAAAAACTGTGTGTGTCAGTTACGCTTAATGAGCACAAATATTGCTCTCATTGTTGCTGTAGATTTGCTGCTTTCGGGTGGCTGGCTGGCTTGCCGTGAGTCTGAGTTTTTGCTTAGGCCTGCCTGGGCACCTGGGCACCTACCTGGGTTCGATTTCAATTAAGACGACACTGGGATCATCTACGGACGAAAACGCCAATATCCATATATACTACGCATATATATTGTGCGGTACGCCAGCCGTCCAAGTTTCACAACTACGCACTCCTTGCCCGCCTCCAGAAAGTTAAGCAACAACTTAAACAAACAGCGCAAAAAAATAAAACGGCAAATCTGACTGAATGACTACGTAAATGTAAAATAAAACTTTTCACATCATTTTATGGCTGGCAACGAAATTTGTGAATAAAATGAATGTTATAGTCGGGCGTTTTATCTATCAACTAACCTGTATATTAATAGTTTTGGCCAGCTTTAAATTAAATTAAATGATAATAATAAATAGAAACTTTGGAAGAATAGGGATTTCCTGAATTCCTAGATCTTTTCGCTCGAGAAAAATTGATTCATGTAGTGAAATAAACTTGATCTTGATATTTGGCTTGCATTAAGCTAAATTTGAAATTTTTCGGCTCATCTTCATTAAAAGTCAAAAACGATTTTCTTCACATATCGAGGGTATATCGATTTTAATTGATAACTTTGATTGAGAAAAATGTATTTTGAAATGAAAAATGTGAATAAAATTTATATAAGTTTAGCTTGTCATAAGCTAAATTTCAAATTCGTCCAATGAATGATCTTTATTAAAGGTCAAAAATTATATTTCTCACAGCTAAGAAACGAATATGAATATTTATTAATAATTTTGAGCGGAAAAAATATCGATATATGAAATAAGCTTGATCGAAGTCATGCTAAACTACATTTTAATTTTTAGTTATGATCTCTATCTCAGCTCAAGACCAAAAAAACGATATTTCTTACAGTGCATTCTTTACCTGTTTCAGAGCACAGTATTAAACAGTCGGTTATGTCCGACTGTCTGCCACCCCACTTGAACTGTGTAATTATTGCCAGCGTCTCCTTGTTCGGGGCGGATCGATTGCAGGCACCTGCTCCTAGCTACTTGTGAATCATTAGCTCAGTTTTGTTGCAAATCATAAATATATGTAATCAGGTACAAGTTGAATGCAATGTTCAGTATGTAATAATAACACATCAGCCTGACAAGGGCCAACAAGCTATGGTTGGCAACTATCTAGAATCTTGATGCAATATTAGGGATGTGCTTAGCCGCAAAATGGCCAGAGCTCATTTCCCATGCTTGGTGGGTGGCTTCACAGTCCAAATTGTGGGAATAATACAATGCTGTACTCAACATCTCTGACAATGGGGTAATAAAAGAAGAGTGGCAAAAAGTCTGACGTATTTTATGCGGAAAGCACGAAATTACTTAATATTAGGTTCTTATTATAGATATGCTGCTGTCAAAGCTAAGTAGAGTTGGCTTATTACAAGCGAGTGTTAATGGGAGGCATATTAATAAAGTCAAAAGCAACCAAAAGGCTTTAAAAGTGGGAAAAACAATTTGCTAGCTAAACTAGATCACTTCTAATTAAACCTGAACTCATTACAAATGGGAAATAGGGCATAATGAGGTTGTGTGAGAAGTATGCATACTGGCAGAAGAAAGGCGAGTTGAGTAAGGATAGGCCCATCTGAGAATATATTAGAACTTAAGACTTCAAGTTTGGAATATAAGTTCCCGCATACCGCAGGCAGATCAGTTTATCCATCACTGCCCATGTTTCTCGAATATCGATACAAATCGATTGTAAATATATGTTTTTCCATCTGCCAAATAATATTATTTATCGACTATGAAAAGATCGAATAAGAAACCCAGATTTTATTAACGAAAGCGCATTTTCAAATAAAATAAATTATTATGGATTCAGGGTTTCATATACAATTCAAGCTATCTCAACTGGAGAATTTAACTTGTTTTTCAATACTTTATGATTCTTGTTCAACAATATATAAAGGCCAATCCAACCGAAAAAGTTGAGCAAGTGTAAAAGCATTACAGAAAAAAAAAAAACAATTATGAGGCAAACACACAAATAGATCACAGTGAAAATTAGGTTAAAGATCTGTTAGACCAGCAGATCTGCATTGACAAGCTCGTGTCACGCATTTCCCCCCCAGAGGGTACATTTCAATTGACTGTAGGCAACTGCAACAGCTATTCATCAAACCGTATACAGCATTTTTTTCACTTTCAAGATCGAGGAGTTGATGAAGAGATGAAGGTAAGTTAGACGCGATAGTCATCCAGACGCGAAATATATGCCAAACAAAGTCAAGCTGTTTGCTTGTTCGCCTTTCAGTTTTCAAACTAGAAACGGAAGCGAACAGTCATATACATACACTGAGAAAAAAGATTGATCTGAATTTTAGTGGAATCGCTAGGGGTTGCTTAGCCTTTTATTTGTTTAGGGACTTAGAATTACACAACAAAATATACAAAATATATATATTCTACGGAAGGCAGAATATGGTATAACCCAGCCTTTCCAATTTTGAATATGTTTTTAGTATATAATTGGAAACCAGAAAAAATGTATTTTCTTCAGGGCGAACTTCAGCACTTCTGGGTAATATTTTTTTCTGAGTGTATGTATGTATGCAGCAAGTAGTCTCAACGCCCAGCGAGGTTAATGCATTGAGCGACTCGTCGTTTAGTGACAGCAGACAACATTAAGCGTAGCAGTCACATAACAATGACAGTGAAGTTGTCATCAGCTGGAAGCAAAGACTATATACATATATATTTATATATATATATACATACATATCTATAGGCATTGCTGGAAGTCAAGTAAGTTTACGACGCTTCGTTGCATTTAGTTGTGCACTCAGACAAAATCGTCTGGGCAACTGTTGTGTTGTGTTTTTGTTTTGTTTTTCCTTTTTTTTTAACATAAATAAATGCGCATTTCACTTTTTATCAGGCGCCGCCGCCTAATGGCAGTTTAATTATTGTCGTCATGGCCTCAACTGTCGCATAAGCCACATTTTACAATGCGCTGATTTATTGAAACTTTGGGTTATACCATTTCTTGCCATTATGTGTACATTACACCATTATCTTTTGCTGTTTACTTGTGTGTCGTTTTTTATTTTGCTAATGTTTCTGGCATTTTTTTGTCTATTTATCAGTTTGGCAACATGGCGTCGAGGTTATAGAGACGAAAAGAAAACACTACAACAAAGACAGATAATAAGGAATCAACACAAAAATGTCCGGCAATCAAAAGCAGCAGCAGCAGCACCAACAACCACAACAACAGCAACAACTACCACAAAAACAACAACAGCAGCAACAAAAAACATTGACAACAACATCGACAGTAGCAGCAGCGAACATTTTGGGCAATAATTTAGTACACATTAATAGCGTTGACAAAAGTGTACATAAAACGACGACAGCAACGGCAACAGCAACAGCAACGACGACAGCAATTAGCAAGCAACAACAGCAGCAACAATTTCAGCAAAGGCGCTCATTGCTGCCAGCAACGGTAACAACAACAGCAGCAGCGCAGCAGAGCGTAACAGCAGCAGCGCCATTACAAGCAGCAGCAGCAGCAGCAGCGCAGTCGCATCAGCTGCAAACAGTGGCAACAATACATCAGCCACACTCAACGCAACAACAGCAACAAACGCAAGCAACAGCATCGCGTCTGCCCATACAACAACAGCAACAATTGCTTGCTGGCAACCCTAAAGAGTTGGCCGCCCACTCACATCTGCCGCACACGCGTCGCAGCTTCTATCAATTGCAACAGCAGCAACAGCAGCAGGCAACGCTCAAGGCCGCACATTTAAAAGCGCCCGCCCACTCGATACCCCCTCGCTATCAGCCACCGCCGCAGCCGGGGCCAGGCAGCGGCATTCTAAAGCCACATTTGCCGCTCAAATATCCGCCGGATATACCGCAGCTAACAAGCATCTATATACCCGATTCGGTTAAGCAACAACAGCAGCAGCAGCAGCAACAACAGCGGCAGCAGCAGCAGCAACAGCAGGCTCGCTATCTGCACCAGCAGCAGCAACAGCATCAGCAGTCCAGCAAGGCACAACAGGATATGCTGAAGTTTGTGCGCAAACCGGAACAGGAACATCCGTCGCCAAATGCTTCGGTCACGTCCAGCGTGGCCACCGGCATACCAACAGCCAATGGCGGACGTTTAACAGTCGAACAGAATCGCCAATTGCAGGTAAGCTCAACAAAAAACTTGGTAAGCTCAAAGAAATCAGCTTGCCTAGATTGAGTATTGGTAACAAATGATGTCTATAATTGATAGGGAAGAAGATTCACCCAACAACCCACTTGAGCCATGATTTGAATCATTATGTTGGCCTCAAGGACTTATCTTCAGCTATGCATAAGTAGTTCACCCACACTCTGTTCCTTTCCGATTATTAAATATCAAAGAGAACATGTCTCTATAATCATTGACAATACATAATCATATCTTTAGATGCCTCTTAAGCATTGTCTGCAATCTGTTTACAATATTTCTTTCTTTGACAGTCCTTGGTAAATGAGCTCCGCTCGCTGAAGGAACAAAATCAGCGTCTGCTGGATGACAATCAGGAACTGCGCGATTTGTGTTGCTTTCTGGACGATGATCGCCAAAAGGGTCGCAAGCTGGCACGCGAATGGCAGCGTTTTGGACGATACACGGCCAGTGTAATGCGTCAGGAGGTGGCAGCGTATCAGGTGAGTGGGCTACAACTAACTAAACTGGAGAAAATGTTAAAGAAACCTCTATTTTGATTTGCAGAACAAACTACGCCAGCTGGATGATAAGCAGCAGGAGCTAATCACCGATAATCTGGAGCTGAAGGAGCTGTGCCTGTATCTGGATGAGGAACGCGCCCATATGGCGGCAAATGCTCTATGCGCGGGCTGCGGTGCGGCCACGCGCAACGCACTGCGCGATGATGGAGACGGCTCCAGTTCGAGCACCAACGCGGATGAGACGATCACAGCGCTGCGCAACTATGCGGAACAGAGACAATTGCCGGTAAGTGGCAAATATGCTCAATCTGAATGCCACAATACTAAATGCAGCAAATTCTTCTGTATGATGGCAGGATTTGCGCAACGCTCACACGCTCAATGATCAGACGCTGCAATATGTGCGCTCGCTGGAGCGGCGCATACAGCAGCTAGAAGAGGAACGTACCACGCCCACGGCTAATCTGCAACAGCAGTCGCAGCAGCAGCAGCAGCAACAGCAACAGCAGCACCAATCGCAGCCACAGGCACAACAGCCAGCATCTGTAGCAGCATCACCCAAATCAGCGCCCTCGCCACACACACACACACAGCAGGACATCAGTCAGGCGGTGGCCGCTGCTGCAGCGGCAGCTGCTGCACTGCCCGAACCAATATCGGGGCGTCCCGAGGCCGTTGTGCGTGCACTACAAGTGCTGGAGGTTAGGGAGCAGCTGGAACGAGATCGCCTCGGCAATCTGGCGGGCAGTGCTCTCGACCAGATGGACGATGGCGAGAAGGCGCTGGTGCGCGAGATGTGCAACGTTGTCTGGCGCAAGCTGGAAGGCAGTCCACACGGGCCCACTGCCCTCGAGCCGCTCTAAGCATTTCAACTTACCACCTACCACCAACTATGCAACAAACAACTAACGAACCTGGCTAACACAACACACACACATACACACACTATTTACTAAAACACATTGTACAAAGTTCAAACTATGACTTAAGCTTAAGCGCTTTATTTAAAAATGAAAAAAAACAAATCGCAAGAAATAAGAAATACTCAAAACATCTATATATATTTTTTTTTATTAATCCTTAATCCTTGACTGTTATCATTTTTGATTTGGAGTGCACTGCTAATGTTATCATATTTCAATAAGCAAACATTAACAGAGCCGCTTAAGGAGCACCAGGAGCTGTCCTCAAAAATACAATGCAACAACAAATATGTATACAACAAATGGAGTTTTTCTTTTTCTTAAATGCTGCATATTATTATGATGAACAATTTAGCTGTTGAATGATAGAGATAAAGATATAAATGTAATTTGGCAACTATGTCTGCTTACAGATGTTCTAGTTTAGTCACTAGCCATACAATTAATTACACTGTTTTGTCGGCTGTTGTTGTCAGCTTTCTACGCTTTGCTGGCCACTGCTTGCAGACTTGTTTTTTTGCTGCTGCTGCTGCGGCTGCTGCGGCTGCTGTTGCAGTTGTTGTTGCGGGACAAAAGTAAATTACAACAGAGCTGTTTAACCTGATTTTCTTTGCCAATTTCGTAGCCTCCGTGTATACCATTCATTCACAAAACTGGCAGCGGCAACAACAACAACAACCACAACAACAACAACTGTGGCTGCCATGATGCAGCACAAACGCAGTCCGAGGCCAACCCAATTTCAACTAATTCACGTATTGTCCAGTCACAGGTTCTTGCCGAGACTCCAAAGTGTGAACATATCAGCTAATTTACTGTCATTATATATGCAAGCTTTGCGCGGTCGACTGCTGGAAATTGGATAAGCATCAGAGACGGTCGCGTGTGAAAAGAATGAGCAGCAGTGCAAAGAAGCACCAGGGAAGCCCTGACATACATATATACATATAAACATACATACATACAAACGTACATACATTTGCAGCACTACAAATACGATTACCACATGTGGCAGATTCCTTTCAGTGTTCGTTGGAACTTGAACATCTCATTTTAGGAACGAGAACACGAGATAGTTTGGGCTTATATCGTATGGAATTTGGCGAACAAGCAAGGCTTTTTTAAATCAAGAACCTAGTTTTGGACAGCTTGGGGAAGCTACACTAGTACGAGCTTATATTTTGTTCAAAATGAACATAACTGATGTGATGACAATGATTAATTAGTTTGCAAAGAAATGCTTTTTATACGAGAACATAACTTTCGATCACTTGAATGAGATTGAGATTATTTGAAACAAGTTATAATGATCTCCCTCTGACAGACGGACATGGCTAGAATAACTCCGCTTTTTATGCTTTTGATTGCGAATATTTTTATATACTTCATGTTTTTGCACTTGCTTGCTTAGAAACAAACAGAAATAGTAATAATAGATATATGAAGCTTATAAGGCCCGAAACTTAATACGCTTTGAAAGGAAATCCAATTTGTACTTTTTGGTGAAAAGTGCCAAGTATTGTTTGTACCAGTTTAAGTGATTAATTTCGGATTGGGTTTAAGAGAGCAGATAATTAATGGCTTGCTTTGAATTGAGAATAACACTCCATCCTTGGCTCTCTTTGTGCTTTCATTTGATTAAGCTTCTCAAATGCGATGCAAATGTCTTCGAAGCACAAACAACATTAAAATAGAAAAAGAAATGGAGCACGATTCCGAAGCATAGCAAATAAATAAACACAGATCAATGTCAAACCACAATGTGTGCTGGAACCAAAGCAGCGCAGAGAGAGAGAAAAGCTGATCGGGCCAACAACGCACAGCATCCAAACAACGTTTGCTGGCCGCAGCTGGAGTCGAAGTTGTGTGTTCGAAGTTGGAGACGGACGCACATTTAACGTTTAACAACGCAGCGGATCGCACGCGCAAAAGCGAAACGCTGTAAAAGGAGCAGAGTGGAGACGAGAGCAGAGAGTGGAGCAATAGTTGCACATGGCACATGGAAAATTAGCATTGACATTGTAGAGCTGGACATGATTGGCATTAAAGTGTTGCGGCTGCATTCGCTGAGCAAGTGCAACAATAAAATCTTGATCTTATTGCGAGGTGCGACTAAAAAGAAAGTTATTATCGCTGGCGGCTCAGCCGGTTGTTGCAGTGCGGCTTATTTTTGGAACCTGCTGGCCGCTATTTGCATATGCGCCGTGTGGCTCAATGCACAGCTGTGCCAGGCAGCGCCTTCAGCAACAATTGACACGGCAAACACAACAGCAGCAGCAGCAGCCAATGAAACCGCCTGGCCACCCATGCATCATTATGATATCTGGAGCGCAGATTGGAAAACGCCAACGGCCGAGCAACAGCTCGAGCTATTCGAGGAAGAGGAGAAGCCAGGGCAAGAGCAATTGCTGCTGCAGGATGCCAACAGCTATAGCACCAACCTGGGGCAGAGCAGCAACAGCAGCGATTGGAATAGCCATCAAACGAGCAGCAACCGTCGTCGTTCCAAAGGTAAGTCCCAATTACATTATCGCTGCAATTTCACTAAAATGTAAGGAATTACTTAATTAGCAAAAATGTGCTTTAAAAAAATTACTTAAGTGTGCCATAAATTATGTAATTCAGTTAGTTGCTATCTTAATTTCAATTAGTAAAGTCAGTTTATAATGATTGACAGTTATTTAAGTTAATCAGTTACTTGTGAGAAAATTTTTAATCAAATTATTTTCAATTAATAAATTAATTCAGTACACGAAATAAGTACATTAATTATTGACCGGCTTCTAGTGAGACTTTTGATCCTTATTAGAAATAATCACCCGATTCTGCATACGATCTGGGACAAAGCAACTCCACATACGAAATATAGGCAGATCTCGAGCTGTCCTTAAGAAAGTTTATTCCACATATTATTTTATTATTGCACAGACTGCTAACGCTCCCCTTAACTTCATAATACAAAAAATGTCTCCCTCTTATTCCAGTACTGCATATATTCCCCGTACCGGTGGATGGAGAGTGTTTATCGGATGATGGCCGCCGCTTGGGCAACTGTTTCAATGCGTATGAGTGCCGGAAGAAGGGAGGGCAGGCGAAGGGGGAGTGTGCCATGGGCTTTGGCGTATGCTGTGTCTTTGTGGCCACCTGCAATGGGACCATAAGCAACAATCTCACATACATTGTGTCGCCGGCATTTCCCAGTTTCATGCCCAGCAACTTCACCGGCTGCCAGCTCAGGGTGAAGCTAATGAGCGAGGAAATAAGTCAGCTGCGTCTCGATTTTAATCACTTTTCCCTTGGTCAGCCCAATCGGCGAACCGGCGTTTGCGATGGGGACATCTTCAATATCAGTGGCGGGCCTAGTGGCAACTTTACGCTCTGTGGCCAAAACAATGGACAGCACTGTGAGTATACAATACGACAGAGTATCTATGAGTTTTTGATTTCCACTTATTGCATTAATTATTTACATATCCTTATGGAAATGGGAAGTAAATGTTGTTTATTAGTGGCAACACCTTGCCGATAAGTTGACAGCCCGGTCCGCAAAAGTTGCCAGACTGTTGTAGATTGCGCGGCAAGTTTGAAATTAAGTGGTGGAGCTTGTAAAGAAAATGAAAGTAGATAGAATGATGAGACGCAGCTGATCCAGTGCAAGTTAATATCATAAGAAATACAAATATTTTTTGAAAGAATCAATGCTAATATATTCATCGCTTGCTCACCGTTGTTAACAAAATTGTTGTTATATTTTCCATTTCATTTCCATTTAAATTTGAGTGTAGTTGATTAAAGTTTTAAAATCTATGCAATATTTGAATATATCTTATATATATATGCATATATTCTCTCTTTCTGTCTTGTTAGTGTACTATGATGTCGGAGTACGACCGCTGCCACGTCAATCCGTCTTGTATGGAAGCTTGCGACCGCCAATTTCCAGCAATACGAGCAGCACGAATGGCAATTTCGTTGATCAGCTAATTAATATTAATATAAATCTATCGACACGCTTTTTGCCCATACGACTGTGGGAGATTCGATTGTCGCAGATACCCTTTAGTCAGCGCGCGCCAACGGGTTGCTTGCAATACCATTCTGGAGTCGAGGGCATAATGCAGACGTTCAATTTTGCGGACAATGGACGGCATTTGGCCAATCAGCATTATCGCATCTGTGTGCGCCAGGAGACCGACATGTGCTCCATTATGTATCAGCCCTGCGATGAGCAATCCTTTCGAATTGGTGGCGCTGGCTTCATGAATTCCAACACAATGAGCAGCAATGGCGGCAGCTCACCGAATGCTGGGCAGGCACAGCAATCGACACTGACGGCTGCCACAAGTGGTTCCACAATGACGACGATGACACAACAACTCATGCAATTCGTCAGCACTGATGCGAGCACAGCAGCAACAACAATTACAACAACAACAGCTCCACCAACAACAACAACAGCCACAACTACAACAACCACCACAACAACAAGAGCCACAACAACAACAGCTCGAAGCAGCAGTACGGAGGCAACGACGACAACAACACCAACACCTGCTGTTGAGGAGGAGACCTGGCCTGCCGACGAGGAGGAGAACTGGCCTGCTGCTGATGAAGCTTCAACATCGACTACACAATCGCCACCAGCCAACGATGATGCAGAGGGCTCTGGCTGGGAAGATGACAATAAGATCTTAGGTTTCTTTGGCACCACTGCGCTGCCCGGCGTCTCACGGCGTCCGCGTCCAGTGGGCGGCGGTGGCGGCGGCGTCCGTCCATCCGGTGGCTTCGATCTGTTTGGATTTTTGCGCAGCGCCTTTGATATGCGCCTGAGGCAGCAGCGAAGTCGACGACAGGCGCGTCAATTCTTTAGCAACTGTAGAGATCGCATTACGATGCCCTGCATCATTGAAGATTTCATTGGCACGGGATTGGGCCCCTTGCCGGGCTGTGAGCCGGTGCATTGTGGCGCCCAGTTTTGCTCCTCAGGCGTCTGGCCCTGCCGCATTGAGAGCACCGTCACACCATTCTACATTGGAGTGCATTTCGGTGATGGAGCCGCCCCGGGCAAGGGCAGCGCAGAGGATAACATTGGCGCCTGCCTGCGATACAACCAGGTGCAGTGCATCTAAGCATCGAAACTTAAATGTAGCCCCCAGCTTTTCTTTCCATTTGTTATTTATAAATGCATACTAAACTTTAAATTAGCTATGGATGGATGGTGAATCAAATTCCCTTAAAATATTTAATTGCACCCTAGAAATATTGACCAGCTGCCGCATACGTTTTGGGGCAATGCTGCTCCGCATATTTCCCATAGGCTGTGCTCGATCCCACCTTAATGGGCAGCTGCTTGGAATGCTTGTTCCACATATGCACCAAATACGAGTCCCTTGTGAGTTCCAGAGTCTCTTCCAAATATTTCGGCTCAAAGAAGTGCCGCCAATGCTTCCGGGGCACAGCATAGAATGCATTGCGCTCGAACACCCTAAAGCCGAGGCAACGTTTGCGGTCCGCCAGCATCAGCGAGATGTTCTTGGTGGCACATATCTTTTGTGCCACACGTGTGATGACACCCGGTCCATTGTTGCCCCACTTCTGACCATCGAAATTCTGCTGAAAGTCACGCAGACAGGCCTCGGCAATTTCGTGACCAAATCCGAAAGGAGCCATACCCATTACTCCAGCAGCTAAATGCGTTTCGGATTCCGGTCCTGCATAGTTAAGCGACACATCCTCCAGGCTGCGCAGCACCACCACGTCCATGTCCAGATAGATGCCGCCAAAGCGATAAAGGGTTACAAAACGTAGTAGATCCGATATGTGACTGACCAGATATCTGATCCGAATAAATAGATAAATTCATATACTAAATTGGTCAGATTTAAAGTGCATCTCACCTCGAGCTAAAGAGCTCACCATGTTTGACCCATTCATTAATTGGTGTGCGCAAAGCATAGCGTCTAATATTTAATTGACGCAGCTGAACGTTGCCATAGCTTCGTATGGCATCGATTAGGGGCAGCTTCTCTTCTTTCTGTCGATAGGTGGGTGTGGCAAATAGTACGAAAACCATAAGATTGGGATTATGCCTAGCGGCTGATTCAATGGCACATGCCTGTCGAGCTGTCAACTGCAGCAGGTTTTTTACAACCTCTTTTCTAGGCTTTAGAACGCCGCTCGTCTCGATGAAGAATATACTGCGTCCGGCAACTGGCAGGGGTTCCATTGTTAGCACATCACCCAGAGGACTTGGCACATTCTTACGGTCCGTTGAGGCTGTGGACTGCAACACCATCACATTGTATTGCATGACAAATCTGATTGCCTGCTGCATATCCTTGTGACATTTATAGGATATGATTGTTCCACCCAAAAGCAGAGCAAGGAGCATTAGATACTTGGATGGCAGGAGTGTTAGACGAAATGCCATGTTGATGAAACCAGTTGTGTACAAAGAATGGCAATTTATTCTCCTTTGCGATATGCGTGTCGAATTGTGGTTTATTTGTCTAATTACCCCTCAACCAGGAAATGGGCGAGTGCCACGTTTTAGGCTGTCCGCCTATTAATGCAATCGACAGATGCAAATAGCTTTAAGAATTATAACTTTATCTTAGCTTATCGTTGCTTTATATTACCTACATCATTTTTGAATTTCAGCTGTACTTAATGAAGAACCCCGAACTGTTTAGCACTTAATGCAACTTATATTGAATGCAAGAAATGTTTGGTGCAGCGATTTTAAATGTATGGCTCCCGTTGTTAATTGTAATTACACATACATAATTGATAATGCTATGGATGGAAATGAATTGTTTATGGATCTACTGCGACATTTGGCGAAGAAATATATGCCAGCTGACTCTTTTTCCACATATGAACCAAGTATGAATTCCAGCTAGAAACCACATCTGCTCCAAAAAGAAGAAATAATGTGAATTCATCCATTGAGGCCCTGACAATGTTTCCGATCTTCCAGCATCAGTGAGATGTTCGTGCTGCCACAAAACCTTAGACAACGCGTTTTATCATACCAGCTCCATTGCTGCCTCTGTGCTTAACATTGAAGTTCTTAGAAGACTTGGCAATCGCATGTCTAAACCAGTCGGTGTCATGCTCATGGAACCATTAGCTACGTTTATAATCGATTAAATTCCCGCATAGTTTATGGACACATCCCCCAGCCTGCGCAATATCAGCACGTCCAGGTCCAAGTCCAGATACTGTCCTAGCGATACAGTCTTAACAGGCGCAGTAAGTCGGACATGTGATTCAACAGGTAACCTAAGCAGACAGAGAAAATACATTAAGGAGGTTACGTTAAGTGGGAACTCAAATGCCACTCACCTTGACTGGAACAAGCGATCCTCCTTAAGAGTGCCATAAGAAAACCTCCGCAAATTGAATTGGTGGAGCTGCTAGTAGAGCAAACCCTTGAAGACTGCGATTATGCAGCTCAGCTGATTATGCTCAGTTCGCTCCTAATTCATTGGAACTATTAAAAACAATGTTGAGCATCTGTTTACCAAACTGGAATTGGAATTGGACGCACTCCCATGTTGATGCCACCAGATGCACTCCCACTACTCTTGTAATGGTGGCATTTACTGTTCGTTATGCGCAACGAATCTGAATTTTTTCTTTTTGATTACTCTCAAAGTGGAGACAGATAGGAATAAGATAAATATATTTCAGTTTCACAGATTTCCAATGATATATTTGTAATGTTGTACATATATAAATGTTTGTATACATCCATAGAAAACTATTTTAGACATGGATACAGAAAAATAATTAATATATGGCCTAAGACATGTGCTGGCCATTCATTTTAGTAGCGAGATTTGAATTTTGTATACATTTAGGTTATTCGTGTACACATTTCGTGTTATTTTAATATGTATAAGCTATTAAAATACCATTAAATGGGACAGTCACAAACATGTTTCAATTTAAATACCCTTGCAAAAAGTTATGATAATTTCGATACGAAGTGCACGTGATATGGAGTATACGATATAATGTTAAAGCTACACAAAGTGGTGGGAATGGAACATTTTATACAATCTTCAAATTGTGTAGCAAATAAAAGCTACATTTTTACTGAATTGATTAAATTGTATCTCGCGGGCAGAAAATGATTTCAAATTTGCCCTGGCAAAATCGATTTTTTCTAGATTCAGATCGGATCGAATTGTCTGCAAAGGTATTGAATCTTTGGTGAGCCGAAGATATAGATTTCTTATTTCTATGCGCATACAAATATGCTAATCGATATTATTCGTTTTTACATATGTAAATATTCGTAACACACACACAGTTAATTAAAGTTAGATCGTTCGTTTGCCCAAACGTGAATATGTTTATAACACTTGACAATTGTTACAAATAAAAATAAAATAAACAGAGAATACAGTGAAAGCGTTTGAAGAAATGTGAAAATATTGCAATAATTACTCATGTTTGCTCTATCAGCTTTTTGACAGCTTTGTTATCCAATAACACAAGACTAGAAGCCAGAGCTTACTCTTTTTTAACAACACTTTGTTTTTGTCTATTCGAAGCGAATAGCTAAACTTTCAACACAATTGTAACTCACGATCGATAAGCTAGATAAGCAAACAAGGAATAATAACAAGCTGCAGAAGCCGGCGTCCTAGCGAGCGCCCATTTTCGAGAGAGTGAGCGCTGCACAAAGAGAGCTGGCTAAACGCTGGCTACTGCAGCTAAACTAAACAGCAAAAATGTTGCATATGCAACAACAACCATTTATGTTAAGCCACAGAGGCGACAAATTAAATATAAATATTTAAATAATGGGATTGTAACTTTGTTGCTGCTCCTGCCAACAACTCACTTATTTTTAGTGTTAAATGCGGATAAATTGTATTGATTTCGGAATGAGGGCAATGTTACTTACAAACAAATAATAACAATAATAGCGAATTAAATTGATGTGAGTAAATTCTCCCTAGGGTCGCTCTTAATCTTTGGTATGTTCAAGAGTGAAAAATTACTTGCTAAAAATATTCACCAGCAGCCGCATACGATTTGGGGCAATGCTGTTCCGCATACTTGCCATAGGCGGTGCTCGAGCCCACCTTGATGGCCAACTGCTTGGAATGCTTGTTCCACACGTGCACCAAATACGAGTCCTTCGTGTGGGCCAGCGTCTGCTCCAACAGTTGTGGCTCAAAGAAGTGCCGCCAATGCTTCCACGGCACGGCATAGAATGCATTGCGTTCGAACACCTTGAAGCCGAGGCAACGTTTGCGATCCTCCAGCATCAGTGAGATGTCCTTGGTGCCACATATATGTTGTGCGACACGCGTAATGACACCCGGTCCATTGTTGCCCCAATCGCTGCCATCGAAATTTTGCTGAAAGTCACGCAGACAGGCCTCGGCAATCTCGTGACCAAAGCCAGTGGGCGCCAAACTCATGACACCAGCGGCCAAATGTGTATTGGACTCGGCGCCTGTAAAGTTGGGCGGCACATCCTCCATGCTGCGCAACATTACCACATCCATGTCCAGATAGATGCCGCCATAGCGATACAGCGTTAGGAATCTCAGAAAATCCGATATGTGCGAGAAAAGATAGCTGAAAAGCAAAATAATATGAGATGCGGACGATGCAGATGGCAAACTGTTGTTACCCAGAGTTATTGCCTCACCTTGAGCGAAACAGTTGGCCATCCTTAAGCCACTCCTCGATGGGTGTGCCGGCCGCATAGCTCCAAAGATTTAACTGACGCAGCTGTATATTCTTGTAGCTGAGAATGGCATCGATGATCGGCTGATGGCGTTGGCCAATACTGCTGTTGCCGTGGTAACGATAGGTGGGTCCAGCGAACAAAACGAACACTTGAAAATTCGGATTATGCAAGGCGGCGGATTCAATGGCGCACGCTTGGCGAGCCGTCAACTGCAGCATGTTGTATTGTGTGTTGGGCCTTTGGCCCGGACGCTGCCTTCTGCGCTTCGGCCGGTGACAGCTGGTCTCGTGAAAGAATATGCTTCGTCCGGGTATTGGCTTGGGATCCGTCAATAGAACATTATCCAGTATTCGTGGTAATTGCAACACTGACATTGCCGATGCTGTCGCCAGTGTGGTGTCCGTTTGGTTGCTGTCCATGAAACAGAGCTGCACATCCGTTTGCCATCTGTAGCTGAGTAGTATGCCGCCCACGAGGAGCACAATCAGTGCCAGAAAGATCAGCCGCAGTCTGCTATTGTGCAAGAAACGCGCCAGCAAAAGCGGCACACGCAGAAGCATTGCGATGCAGTCTGAATGTGGAAAAAACACAAATATTTGCACATATTGAACATATGCAGAGAGAATGTACTATTTGTAATAATTGTGTATTGTTGCTGCTCACTCTGTATTTATCGTAGCGATTGCATTAGATTATCAAAATAAGACGGCTGTATAAACAAAATATATAAATGCCTTAAATAAACATTTACAGTCCAAACACGCACACACACTCCCACTCACAAACACGGCTGAACAGTTTTAGGAATTTAACATTTCGTACAGCTGTTATTAACAGCGAGCAACATTTTTTTATTTACACATTACCAACTTATTATTTAATAAACTCCTAAGTAGTAGTTAAATGACCGGTCACTATATTATATTGACCGGAAGCTACTCAAATAACAATTTAAAAACAGCTACTTGCAATACAACCTATTGTTGTTAGTATGGGAAAAAAAAGAACAAAATGCGCCATGATTTCGATATTTGCCCCTTGAGCGAGAATTCAAATTCACATATCGGGAAAAAGAATTTTAAGCAGAACATTAAATATTGGGAAAATATATCTTGTGGACACACTGCCAACGAGTAACGATGAATCGATAACTCTTTGAAATGACAGTTATTGGCTATCGGATAAGCAAATCGACTGCATTTAAAAAACATAAAGTGTGTACACAGCACTTCCCAAAATAAATTCAATTAGCATTGTATTAAATCTAAAAATTACATAAACATACACTGTAAAGCATAGTTAGCAATAACCAGTTGATCAGCTTGTGTTTTTTGGATCTCTCGTGCGAATGTAGCAAGATGAAGTGGCATTTGCCAACGAATAAAAGCTGAATAAAACGGTTCTCGTCCGTCAAATTATTTATTTGCATTTTATAACATCAAATATTAAATTCTTCTTTTTACCACTGATGGTATTGATGCTACAAAATTACGAGAATAACAGCATGAAATAAATAATGTTGCGATTTTTTTATTTAAAAATATCTCTTGGTGCATTTTATATTTTTATTTTATCAGCCTATATGAAAGGCCTCTAATTCTTGTGGAGCGTTAGTTAACAAATTGAGTTGCAACATTAGTAAGTCTTCAATGGTCGAGGCACAACCAATTACTGCTGCCCTCCTGCTCCCAGTCACCCACACAAGAGATTAATTGCCACCTTTTAATGGAGGATATTACACTGGTATTGCTCAATGGTATATTCCAAAGTTCTCACTTGTGATTAATTACAATTGACGCTTTTTTTACAAAAAAATATAAACATTATATATATAATATATAATGTCATGGTCTACAATATAATATCTTTATTATATACCTAAGTTAAATAGTTTGTTAGGAATTATGTGTTTCCTTTATACAATCTGATTTCTGAAAAACTATTACATTTTTATAATTTATTATTATTGCAATTTTTTACTTTATTCTCGTATTTTCATAAATTAGGTTTAAAAAAATCGTTGAATACTTTTAAGCGCTGTGAAAATTGTTTCAAAGTAGCGTGCAAATATTTGAGTTCACAATATTTGCATACGAAAAAGTTTGCTTTCGACTGGGACAAATATTTGGGTTCTCTGAAAAATTGAAAGCCATAAATTTTCGCCGAATCAACGTTCGCATGGCTTTAATTAACTGGATTTGTTTGTCTGTCTACACTTTATCATTGTTATTTTTGGCTTTTTGGTTTGCACAAGCCGTGTCCAAATAAGTACACGAGCTGTGCCCCTAATGATATTATAATATTCTGTGAACATTTCAATTAATTCATTTGGTAGCCACGTGCCACAGCAACTGTTTGTCTACTGGCATCTAGCTGATATGCATACATATGTACATACAAAAATATATACATACATATATGTACATTTATAGATAGGTCTATGACATACATTATTATATACATGTATATTACAGAAAAATGCGGCCGATGTCGTGTATTGATAAGGCCCCGAGACAGCTCATCTCAGCTCAGCGTGTTCGAACTGGAAACACCGAGTGCTTTTGCACTTGACTAAACTGACATGTTCGCCAGCCCAAAATAAGCCTTGACCAAGCTTTCTTAATATGTGCAAGCCCGATTGAACACATTGCGTCACGCAACTGTAAAACCGCCATTCCATAACTGACCGACTGATGTCTCAGGTGCTATTTTTGGAAGCGCGACTCTGTAAATTTAACGTGTGATAAGCCAGTCATCATAAGTCACCAGTATCAGCTTCACATGGGCAGCTCTCTGCGCCTGCGTCTGCGTCTCCATCATCGTCGGTGTTCAGCGACTTTCTTTTTTTTTTCCTTCTCGATTTTCAGTTGCTCCCCCCAGCAGCGTATTTTGTTTGTGTTATCAGGTGCTGATTTATATAGACGTAGCGCCTCATTAAGCAAAACTAGAGCGAGGCTAATCTTTTCGTGTAATTGACGTAAATTGAAAATGAGTCGATTTCTGTTTTTTGCTGCTTGTTATTGATTTTGACACATCGGCTAACAGCATGTGAACTCCCGCTAAGTCATCTGTTCCCCGGGTCAACGAGTATGTAAGGAAACGTGACATCCACTCGAATCATTGATTTCACTGTTGAGTGTCGATTCACATCTCCATGTGAGGATAGGTTTGTTTTGGTGAATGGGGTGATGAGTACGCTATGTGCACGCTAAGTAGTTTTTTTTTAATGACTGGCGTCAATTACACACACATATCAATTTATAATAAAGTCTGTTTTTTCCTTGATTTTTCTAATACTATTCCTTTGTATTCTTTTCTACCCCTTTACTTTCCAACTGCGCTTGCTACAAAAAACTTTGGATGTTGAAACTTGAGAATACGATTACTTTTTACAACGAAGTTTGTTTTCAATCCAAGGCTTGTTTACTTCAGCTTCAGCTTTAGTTTTTTTCCACATTTTGTTACAGAACAAAGCTTACCTATGCTTAAATTACCTTATATTACCCAGACTTTTTTCTGACAAAGCCTTTTTTTTGTTAAATTTTATTCCCTCAAAGAAAAATGTAAATTGTTGTGTGACTAGCGATAGTAAAAGTAAAGTTTACAAATTTTTCAACTTTCTCTATAAAGAATAATTTTTAATTATTTGCTTAATAAAGGAATAAAAATTCGCTGTCTCATTGAAATATGAAAAATATTCGCTGCAAGGTTTCTTTTCTTCAGATCTTCAGATTTTTGAATTTCTTTGATATTTTTTTGCTTACGCAATAAAATAAAAATTCGTTGTTTAATTTAAGAAAGTATAATGGTAAATATTTGTACATTTTCAGCGCTTAAGGCCTCACTTTAAATAAATAAATGTCTGATAAATATGACAATAAAACGATTCAAATCTTTTACGATTGGTCTATCAATTTCCGGAGATAAACATATAAAGCAGCCCACACTGATCTTTTTTCTGGATATAAACAATCGTATGAGAGCTGTTTAAGTGCAGCTAAAACAATTTTTGATTTGTTGAAATGATTCTGAACACAAAGCAACGAAATTTGCAAATTTATTTTACGAATTGTGAGTTACGATGCAAACCAAACTTTGTTTTGTTTTTGTGGCCATTCTATTTAGATCCATCACAATGTTTACATCCACTTAAATAAAATCATTTTGTTGTTCTCTAAGTTTCCATTTCGCTTTCTTATTTATTTTTATTTTACGAGCATATTTTTGCACATTTGAATTGCGTGTTTTTTTTCGTTTTTTTATTTTGCAACTGTTTTTAGCTCTGGCATTAAAATTGAGCATTTCATTTTGGGCGTGACCCCTAGATTAGCACATCGTCATTCAGTATATATATTCAGTATATATATATATGTATATAAACTGAGACATAAAGATTTATATATAGAGTGTCAATTTTGTTGATGGGCCTTATCAATATTGCTCGCGCCATTCACATGTTACTACGCTATTTTTAATGCACACTTAGCACTCGCATAATTATAGGAGTATAATTAATGTTGAATGGTGAAATGTGACACAAAAACGGTCGTACTAATAGATTCCCTATGAATTTCGGTTGTGTTACATACAATTTTTGGGTTCAGTTCTTATAGCAACTAAGTTGACGTTGATGAACGATGGTGGTTGATGCTGATCAATAATGCGAATGAATATGTTTCTATATTAGCTATGCAAGTAATATGCTCTTTTTCACGTTTTGCTGAATACGGAGTGTATTTAGCAGGCTGATAGCCTCTGAGCAGGAAAAAACAAATCTATTTTTTATTAGCAATTGTTGTTACCAGGGGCACGATGTACTTATAAAGAATTTGATGGTTCAAACTATTTGTTGATCTTTTAATTTTAAATAGCCTGAACAACAAAAAATAATGTTTTTTATTATTTGAACCTTAACTTCTGTGGTAAAATGTACCCATTCAAATAATTTGTTTTCTTTTTACCAGTCCCTGTTTTGTTAATGTGCGAGTTGCTTTTACCAACCCGCAAATTCTGACGCAATTGGTCAGCTCATTTACCACAGATGCTTCACCGGAATAAAATATTTATTTTCTTCACTGATCAATGACGTTATGGGTCAGCCCATTTTTAAAAAAATTTCTTAAAGTTTGTCAATAATCTTATAACGGAATCTTTATTCTTATTAAATTAATGGTATACTTTTCCTGATCGTCAAAGATGACGCAGCATACTTCGTCACTTATCGCGTCAAATTTATATGTTCAATTCAGAGAAACTTTCCAGCGACCTGCGATTTGCGTATTTTGCTGTTCAAAATGCGTATGTAACAGCCAATCCAATATGTCAATCCCGTTTCTTACTCATGGGACACAAATTTGAATTTGAGTGGCAGATTTAGGGGAAAAAACACAGAATGCCAATTATAGAGGACTAGACTAGAGCGCGCTTAGGTCAATTGATGTTGCGACAATTATTATAATCAACGGGAATGCCTAGCTTGGGTTTAGATTAAATTAAGTTAAATAAAATGAGCAAACAAGAGAAAAAAAAATATATATATATATAATCTGTTAATATACTTTTGAGACCATCTGTATCTTTTTTTTAACGATGATTTCAAAACATGTCTTTCACGGAATACAGGTCAAATGTGTTTACTTACATGTATTTCGTATCTGGTCATAATTCGTTTTCAGATAGAGATGCACAGCGACCGTGCAGTCAAATTTTTTTCAAATTTAAAAACTACTCAGTTTATTTAGAATAAAGGAAAAAATGTGGCCTAAAAACTCAATTTGATAAAATAATCTTTTTATATTAAATTTAAACATATGTCGTAAGTATAACAGACAAGCATATGGTTGATATGTTTTGCCATCATGAATTATTTACACATATTGTGTATATATTTGTTAAAGCTTTCGAGCGAGTGTTTCCCAAAGACCTATGCCTAACTGTGTGTGGCGCCAGTACTCAAAGTATATGCATGTTATACACCACATATATATTTGTTTGCATATTCCTCTAGATAGAGATCAGCTATGCATACACTCCCACCCACCCACAAGTACACACACACACACACACACACACATACTCGCACAACAAAGCAAACATGTTAATGAGGTGGCGCTATTGTTATTGCTGTTTTTGTATTTGTAGCTATACGCAAAGCTTAATACTATGACGTCAGTAAAGTCATTGAATTATAAATTAATAACAAGCCCATGTCAAAATTATAACAAACATTTTGCTGAGCTGTGCGTATTACCAACATCAACAACAGCAACAACAACAGCAACAACAACAGCTAAAATGAAAAATAGTTTTTGCCAAGCCAACTAAAAAACGGTTAAGACTGCGGGGCGGAAGAGTCAACGAGGTGAGTCGCTACCTGAGCAAACTATTAAGTTACAATTAAATGAGGAACCCGTATTTGCAGCAGCTCAGTCGTCGTCGTCGTCCAATTTAAATTTCGAGTCGAAATCGGATTCGGAGTCGGAGTCCGATTGCGATTGCGATTGCAAGTCCGTGAGCCACGATAAAGCCGCGAGATTAAAAAAGTCAAGTGACACGCAAATGCGTCAATCGAAATCGCAAATTTATATGAAATTAAAAAAAATAAAATAAAACAAAAAAATTAAAGAGCACAAAGAACTGTTAGAGTCGTCATGAAGAATAATTAATACTCTTATAAATTTAATATTTATTTGTTTTTCCTAGCGCAACCAGTTTAATACTTATAAGTTATTATATATTAAGTATAATTTGTTTAAATATCATTTTACCATGGCATATGCCTTAATGCTTAAATCTAATTAGTATACAATTAATTATAAACATTAATTTGAGTCACAGTATATTTCTATTTATATATACATTTTTTGTAGTTGTAAAATATTAATTTTATAAGTCATTAAATGCTTATAGATTCAAAAGCTAATTTGACGATAACCTCTTTTAGGAACAAAATATTTGAATACTGTTTTCATATTTTCTGCTTAGCTATAATCTAAAAAAAATTTATTCCCTCTACTCGTCTGTTAATTAATAATACTTTTTGCTAACTTTCACAAATTTGTGCTTACATTATGCACATTTGTCTATAAGCGTATATTCAGAAGGGGATCCACCATTTGATGCCACATATATGGCGACTCACTTATCATACCCCACGCTAGAGTATTTACAAACGTCACAGCTTGAGGCAAAAAGTGGGAGCCGAAGCTGGAGCTTGGAGCTTGGAGCTATCTGCGTATGGGCCTGTTTCTTTGTCTTTATCTGCTTGTGCGTTTGTGTCTTTGTCTGGAGATGGCCAGTGAAGCGCACAGAAAGCCACTTCAAATGTGACATCCCAACCCTCAGCTGCTGCAGCACAATCATGACAAAGAAATGTCAGTAATTGTCGACCCGCCCCTCTCCGCAAGTCAAACAAAATTTACGTTTGACGTCAGCGCGCTTGAGGCTTGGGCTTTTCTCACCAGGTCTCACAAAGCGCGATAATGATTTGTGAGCTGCAGCTGGGAACGCCATTCAATCATGAGATCCGAGCCATTGATAGAGCTGTGATACAATATTAAAATGCAGCCATAACAAGGCACTTGCTAAGTTGCATGCGGGCCTTTGGCCGTGAGTGTTATGAATGAATTTTCTGCGTTTTTCTATGACGAATACCTCACAAAATAGCACATTGAATACTTATTCAATTAATTGCTTAATCGTTCATTCGAAGTGAAGCGGGCATTTCAGTGTCGTTTATTAAGTACATTTTACGCTGTTGTTTCAACTGGACAAGTTTTCAGTTTCTTGTTTAGTCATAGTTTCATCTCTCTTGATTAACAGCTTCATATTTAACGATCAGTCATTCGTATTTGTGGCTAATTAAACGAGTTAATTAAATGTACATTTCCAAAATAGCCGTAAATCTGTGGATTTAAAACTAACAAATTTGTATGTCACGCTTTTATATAGTAAATTTAGCTTTGGATGACTTGCATAAAGATCTTTTGAAATATTCTATTTTACAGCTTCATATGTTGTTGACAATATTAATCTGCTGGTTTCAATTTTCAATAATTTTATTTCAAATTCTTATGTTTAATTTTAATTTTCACAGTTCTACGCAGTTGGGTTTCCAATTTGAAATCTGTGCAAAGGGGCAGATTTTAAACTAATACCTACGTGTTACGTATTTTAAATTAGAGTTTTTTTTTTCAAATTGTATATATGTAAAACTGGACAAAAATTTTTACATGTTTTATTTTTATTTTTTTTTGCGCGTCACGTTTGTGATCGTGGAAATGCCCATATTACAGGGCCCATTTACTGGGCATAGCCTAATCAATATCTTATAGTTCACGCTGCTCGGTAATTAGATTTGTTAATGCTGTGTTGGGCATTGAGTAATAATTATTATACGTACTTAGTTTCGGTCACGTGTAGCTGTTGAGGATTGTTTTTAATTGCGTTACTCATACGCCACGTTGCAGTCCATTCGTGAAGTTCAATGCATTCGGAGAGGGTTCTTGAGTCTGGGCCGAAGTAAAAATTAGCATTGCCATTGGCTTCGCATAACAATGGGTCTGTCGCCGTCTGACGTATGTGGTTGCCATGTGGAGCATGCAACTGCAGGCGTTCTGATGGAGACAGAGACGGTGGCAGAGAAACTCAAGTTGGGGGTTTGTATGTCACTCAACATGGGACTGGATTGACGCACGTTGCGGCCCCGACTCCAGCCCATAAATATGCGCATTTTGCACTCTCGCTTGTGCCGCTTGTGGCCATGAACCAAGTGGAGAGTGCAGAGAAAGAGCTCAAGAAACTGGCGCAGATCTTGGCTGTTCTGTTTGCATAATCCCTCAAAGAAGCAGCGCACTAATACCATATATACATATACATAGACATATATGTATATATATATATATATATATATATGTATATATATATATATATATGTATGTGTATGATATATGTATATCTGTGTATATAAATGACATATATGTCTATTAGCAATGCAGATGGCGGAGAATCATCACCAGATGTGTTTCAAGAATCCCAAGAGAAGTTCAACAATTTGGAAAAAAACAACTCCCAGACAGTTCAATGCCTGACTCCGACCTTAGATGGCGCCATGCGACGCCGCGGGATCTGATCCAAGAAATCTCTTATCTAATTGCGACGTTACTCAACTACGCAGATAGTGAAAAGTAATCTTTATTATGCAACCCTTTCAGTTGAAGTCATAGTACTATTATGTGATTACAACAGTTTTTTGTTGTTTTGTTTTTGTTGTCATTTTCTTTTTTGTACAATTTCAAAGCGAAATAAACTATTCCTCATATTTAATAATAATATTAAGTGTCAGCTCTTGCATTATATGTCTTAACAAATTCTTTAGAACGCAGTTTATTCATATTTCTATACATACATAATTTTCCAGAATAATTTTATGCAATAATATATCTGGTTTATTTCTGGCTGAACGCGTCCCACCTTTCTCATCTATAAACATGTTGGGAGAGGTGAGAAATAGTTTGCATGTTTTCGATAATCCCCAATAGGAATCAAAACAATCAATCGACTGCAATACGCCCGCCCTTGCTTATCATAGCGCTCCTTCTCTCTCTCTCTCTCTGCCCGCTCCACTAGTTGTTCGGTGCCATCCTCACTGCGTCCGCTCATTATTACCACTCTCGCGTTACGGACGCTTGCGGAACACATGCGTTCACTACTTATCTCTCTCTCTCTCTTTCTTTTACTCTCTGTGCACCCAGTGAAATAAAAGTTCTCTCCACTGCGCCCGCTAGCAGCTGCCCTCTCCCACACTAGCTTCATTTCGTTGCGCTCTGAGCGTGCGATCGTGCTCGGTTCGTGCTCGGCTCGTTCCGCTGCTTCGGGCAAACGAGCGCTCTTTAGCTACAGCACAAAACTGACCGCCATATGGCCAAACCAGTTAGTCGCCTCACAGAGCAGCACGCGTGATCAGTTGAACGACGTTTCGTGTGCGTTAGAAAAATCAATTAATTATCAAACATTTTTTCCATGTGAAAACTTCGCAACGGGCACAAGAACACAAGGCGCAGAAATACAAGACCAAAATAAAGTTGTAAGCAGTGCAGTGCGAAACATACAGAAAGAAAGAAAGATAAAACGCAAATGCAATGTGCTAATTAAACGGATAAGGAAACACAAATAGGTCTAAAAAGAATATAATAATAAAATATGCAAATCTGTTGAGCATAAGGCAACATTAATAAACGAGAGCCAGTTGAACTACTCCAAACATCCCCCCTCCCACAAACAACAACAGCCAAGTGACGTTAACTTGCAAAAAAAAAAAAAAACCAAATGACTATGACTTCAACCGTGTTGCAGCGTCCAACAGCAACAACAAAAACGACAACAGTTGAAAAACAAGCTACGAAAGCAACAAGAACAACAACAACAAGCAGAATGGCCTGGTCGCATGAGAAATTGCGTTTCTCATGCATCGACAACATTGGCCTGAAGCAGCTATGGAAACTGATTGCATTGGATACGGCAACTTCAGCAAACAGCAACAGCAACAACAACAAGTCTTCCAATGTGGAGCAGCCGAAAACCAACAGCAGCGACAGCAACACCAACAGCAACAACAATAATAACAACAATACTGAGGTAAGTAACCTGGCCAAAAAGAAAGCTTACAAGGGGAGGCAAAACAAAACAACAAAAAAATAATAATAAGACGGCTCTGACGTCAATTGAGAGCCAATAGCGCAGACACATCCGTGTAGAAAGCAAACGCGAGCAGAGAAAGTGACCCAAAGACACCCTACAATTTCCTCCAGCTCTTCTCATGACTAAACCTTCACATCCAGTCAAATATTTTTAAACTTTATCTCTGGCAAAAAATCGTCTGTGTGTTGAAACAACTGTTTTCTTTTTTTTTTTTTTGGGTTTCTCAGCGCCCAACAGCTATGCGGCATGTAAACAAGCGTCAAGTTCCAAGTATCTGCATTGGAATTCCAGTAACCCACGTAACGTCAATTTGCATATGGCAAAAAAAATAAATAAAAACGCTAATTAAGACAAGCAACAGTCGCTCTTAAGCATGGTGCTGTACAGTGGTTATTCGAAACTGACTGCCAACAACAAAATATTCGTTTTTCAATATGTGAAAATTATATTTATCGAATATTGGGAAATGTTAAATTTAAGTAGACCAATTCAATTGGTTTTATAAATATTAAAGATAAACTTCGTAATTACATAGAAATTTCAATTTTTGATAGATATTGCTTTCGAGCCTCTACTGTGCAGAAGGCTATGTGTTGGACTCCTCTATTTAGGCACATGCCGTGTGTGAAAACAAATCAATTCATTTTATTGAAAACAATTGAAAGGCTTTTATTTAATTCTTCTTGACACTTTATATTTTCTTTATATATTTACAATGAAACAATTTGTCACTTGTGTTGTTTTCGAACAATATCTTAACATCCTTTCATAACATTTATGACAGCTGTCCGTTTATTGACATTTGGCCTTGGTTCAGTCAACACAAGTGCCGAAGTACTATGTAATTTTTTTCTGTCGAGTCTTTCAAGTTACCACATCATTTCTTACAGTGCACTGTTGAGTACTTAAACATATGAATTTCATGTTTAACTGTCAAGTGCAGCAGCCCACGCTGTCATCATTTGTTAAACTATTATCAGTTCCAGACTATGGAACATTCATTTCATTCACATTTCAGTTATATAATTCGGCTTGGATCAAGGCTTTTGATAAGTGTACTTGGGCTTTTGATTTATTGTGATTTTGTTTTCAACGAAGGCTGTCTGTCTTGCCTGTCAACCGAAATGTGGAGTAAAGTTCATGGCGGCATCTCTGGGGAATTCTCCATTGTACTGCTCATAGTGCCTTAGCACAGTGAATACCCTCTCTTTTGTTGTTTTTTTTTCTTAACTTAGTCACAGCCCATCGTTTGAATTTTTGGAAATCATTCGTGAATCATTTTTATTTAAAGCGAAAAAAGTTAATCATAGATTTACAGGAAGGGGGTCTATAATTTAAGATTACTATTTGGGGAAAATAAATTTTTTGTTATTTATTTATATGGTTATTTTTGGCTTTCGTATGCCTTACAGCAATTTGCTTGGAGTTTATTCACTCTAACTGTTAAATTTTTAACATTTCTCCGGCAGTTGATAATGATGCTTAATGATATATGCGGTTTATTATGGCCAATTCCGCCACTGAGCCCGCTGGACCTGCGCTCATCTTCTTTCGCTTCGTTTCACATATCGTAACTACAATGCGTTATGTTTTTTAACTCATAACTGGTTTCTTATTTCATATTTTTTTTTAGTCTGGGCTATTCAACCCTAACTCCCTTCCCTTGTTGACTCCGCCCCCTCGTGGTGTGGTTAATGCATTGACGTCAATGCAAATCAAGTGATTTGTAAATTCTGCCTCATCACCCTCCAGTCTCAGTCTCTCTCTCTCTCTCTCTCTCTCTCTCTCTCTCTCTCTCTCTCTCTGTCTCTCTCTATTCCTTTCTCTCTCTGATCTCTATGCAGACTCAGTGTCTTGGAGGGCTGGCAATCTTCTCGACCCGGTTGTTATCCCGGTTTTTGAATGTCAGGGTTGTGTTCTACAAAACATAAAAAGGAGGCTGTAACTGAGTCACCTACAACTACAGGCCCACGGCCATTGCACAGACAACGAAAAAACTAGTTTCCACTGGGACCTGTTGATTCCTCTTTGCCACAAAAAAAAGAAGCAAAACAAAAGTCAAGTGCGTATTGGTTCGCCTGCGGGGTGGGGAAAGACAAAAAATATAAGCTGAATGTTTAAATTTGCCAAATTCGGTGAGTTGAATTTGTTTAATTAACAGCTCAACGCTTTGACGTCACCTGCATAAATTTATCCACAGAAACTGTTTTTTTTCGTATTTTTTTTTATTGGGTTGCTTTTGAGTTAACACGGTCGTCTGGGGGCAATACAAAATCTTAAGTAGTCATAAATAAACACAACTGAACTGCAGCTTAGTTAAATAGACTCGATTCTAAAAATAAAACGGACGCGTTTTAAAGCGCGCTCAAAACGCGTGCGAATCGGTGCGCGCTGAAGCATAACAAAAAACAAAAAAAAAAATAATAAAAAAAATGAAAACAAAAAATAGAGAAAAAGTGAGTTATGAAAAATGCTGTAATTTCAGGTCACAATTTTGTGTTATTATTATTGTTGTTACAGTACTATTATGCATTCGAGCAAATGTCAGAGCTAATTATCGTCTGCGGTTGCCTTTAATTTCATTTTATTAGAATTAAGTTTTTCAACTGTTGCTGTTTTTCGTTGAGGATTTTCAAGCGCACGCAAGTGCAAAACAAACAAATTACATAACAAAGGTATCAAAATTAAATATTATCTATGCATTTGCATATGTCTGACATTTTGCTTCGTCCATTTGTTAATTGTTCTCTTAACATAAATAGACCTTTTTAAACCCCTGCAGTGTAGTACGTGCTAAAATGCATAAACTTCAGTGTTGTGTCAGATACTATATCATTAAATTGCCGTTTGCATAAGCTATATAAATATATTTAATTGTTTCAGTTGTCAATAAAAAACGGAACCGTCTGCGACGTCTATAAAAATCTAAATTTAAATGTTTTACACTATTTCAATCTCTCAGCCTTTCTATTGACAGTGGCTCCTATTTGTTGTAAAAGGTCAACGCTGACGACATACAGATTCAACTCGATAATAAAATAATACATTTGTTTTTTTTTCTTGACGCACGAATATATCATTTGATATTAATATCATTCGATATGCATGCGATTTGACAATGGACACACACACATCGTGCGTTGATTGATTAGCGCTTAATTACTTCATTATTTAATATTATTGGCTCGGAATAAGCATCCATTAACGGAATTTTATGTAGTCACTGCCGGTTTAAGTATACAGACCAGTCTTTTAATTATGTGCGACTATTACAAATGTAGCATAAACTGGGGCAAGTCCAAATTTGCATAGCATTTGAATAAATTTCGTTTTATTTAATATTATGCACAAACGCGCGCAGCCAACTTAACAAGCGCAATCCACAGCTTAAGCCGGCATCCGCAGCCAACTTAACTAGAGCATTCCACAGCTTGCGGTAACTTAACAAGCAGTCTGACTAATGGAACCAATTTGTCTGCTTAGCCGCAGCCAACTTAACAAATTTAGTGGTGCCAAATCCCTTAAACAATTAATTTATTTTAATACGAATTTAATTATGAGTCAGTCATGAGAACCTATGGGTATGGGTATTGTTTATTTAAACAGCGAATTCGAAACTGTTGTACCACTGTGCTCTGTGCACATAACAACCTTGGCATAATCGGCGGTATCTAAAGCTATCCCACAGACGTTATCTTTATGACAACATCTAAGTACTTATACTCCCATATAAATATATATATATATATATATGTATATTTACCGATATCTAGTTGCCAGTTAATGCCTTTTTTGTATATCATATAAAGCTCAAACATTTACAAATGACAGCTGGCACACTGTGCCTACTAAGGGGGACAGGCGTGACGAAATTGTGCCACATATGCAAATTTATCAACTTACGTAAAAAAAAAAAGCAAGCAAAACAACAATAAATAAACGCAACTCTTGCCATGTTATTGCCCCAAAGTTGACGCTTGACTTTAAATGAAAAGACGCAGTGCTATCGCAACTGATAAGAGATAAGAGAGGAAGTTAACACTGATAAGAAATAAAGCCCAGCAGCTACGGCCAGTCAACTAGTATATAAAGATGCTGAGGATAAACAACTGGCTCCACAGTTAGTTCAATTAATTAAAACATTTTTGAGTTCGGGTTCGTAATTTGTTATAGCCAAGGCGCTACAAACAGCTTATAAGCATATAACTCAATTTATGGACAGCAACAGCAACAACAACAACGCCAATAGCAACAGCGGCATCGGCATCGGCATCGGGTTGTTCAATACATTCAACTTTGCATACTAAGTGGCTCATTAGGGAGCACGTTGAAGAGCCACACACATCGATCAAATTGGAATAGGACAGAGAGCCTCATAAAACAACTAGACGCTTCACAAGCCATATACGATCCGATGGCAGCAGCGTAAACAAAATATAACTTTTTGCACTTTGCTGTTGCATTCTGATTGTATAATTAATAGGGTTTTTTTTTCTTTTGCATATGTTACTTTTTGACTTCGAATGAGTCACAGCTTTTTATTGTGCTCAAATACCAAGTGAAATTAGTAATTGGGGGTATTCAATTATAAGATTGAGAAGCGATCGCATATTTTGGGCCCTGTTTGCTGAGAACTGATAAGGTATCTTTAAGTTTTGCATGCATGTCTCCAACTCCCTTAACAAGCACATAGAATTGGTTAAATATGTAGATAAGCTAAAGGGTATTTGCGAGTCAAGTACTTTTCATTAGAGGACATCCGGTTGTTTTTTATTTTGCCTTCGTTTGTTTGCTTGCCTGTTTTTCTTGGGTTCACGCAGACCACTGACTTCAATCTAACTATGCTCTAATCTACAGGGCCTAGCGATACCCTACGATAACTGCGACAACTTGGCCGCCTATTTGAACCTGCAAAGGGTCGAGCAGGCGCGAATGCAGGAGCCGTCAATGCCGACGACACAGCAGCGAATGTCGCTGCTCAAGTTCTTAGCCATTGTAAGTACCAGTTTACGATGAACGGGTCGGGATTAAGTGGTCATAAGACGAAACACGCTTAAGCGCTTCCTGCTTGCTGCCTCAGACAATAAGCGAACAATTGGCGTGCTGCCTGCATTAATTTCACATTACGAACATGCATGTAAACGATGATCGGGCATTTAAAACGTTTTGCACTCAATTATTTTTAATCGCAACCAGACGATAATAATTTCGATCTGCCCCCAAACAGAAAGCGCCACTCGCTATAGAAAATCAATAAGAAATGTCGTTGAATGTGTGTTTGCTAAATCGAGTTGCCACAGCACCGCCAAACCATCTTTTTTGGGACGTGATATCGCCGCATGTGTGAAATATAATAATTTCTTTATCAGCATGTTTTTTTGCACCCTTGTGATATACACAATCGGCGCATGAACTTGAGCTATGGCTTTGTGAAATTCATTTCAATTCAATCGGTGGATTAATTGTAGCTTGTGACTAGAATAATAAATAGCCATGAATATATATTTAGCAACACAGTTGACGCGATCTCTAATAGCGATTAATCCATTAACACTGAATTTAATGAGAAGCAATGCATAGCCACATGGTCACTTCCCTTCATTTTACTCCTTTGTGCTTGGACTTATCCGGCGTGAACTTAAGCAGGCATAAAATATAAACATCTTGGGGTTGCTCTTTTTTGCAAATAATATTTTATTAATCATCTCTTCTATTCTCTATCCTCTCTTGCAGAATGCTCTGGAACTGAGTGCACCTGCCACACCGTTGCTGTTGCAGCAACAACAACAACAGACGCAATCTAAGCCAAACGGCTGGATGCAGCTCTCCGGGCATCCCGAAAGGTGAGCAACTCACACTCAACGAATATCAATGTGCACCCTTTGCTAATCTGTTTTCTTCTATTGTTTATAGTATTGTGCCAACCACAGCGGGCATTGTGCGTAAGCGCATTGTTGGCATCGAGGACAGCGAGGTGCTTGCCTATCGTCAGATCTCGCAGGAGCCAAAGACCTCGCAGATTGTGCCCGCCTTTTATGGACTGCGCGAGATGCACTCACAGCATTTTATTGAGTTGCAGGATCTGTTGTCCGGCTTCAAGGATCCCTGTGTGATGGACATCAAACTCGGCAGTCGCACATTTCTTGAGTCCGAGGTCAGCAACCAGACGCTGCGTCCCGATCTCTATCAGAAGATGATTGCCGTGGATGCCAGCGCACCGACGCAGGCGGAACACGAGGCACAAGCGATTACCAAGTTGCGTTATATGCTCTTCCGTGAATCGTTGTCCTCGTCGCAGAGCAAAGGATTCCGCATTGAGGCCCTGCGTCTGCGTGGCCGTCCGCCACTCAAGGATCTTAAGACTTGCCGCAGCAGTGAGCAAATCTCTCAGACCATCGAACAGTTCCTCGCCGCACGCCGGTCCGTGCAGAAGGAGCTGCTCAAGCGGCTCAAGCAGATGCGTCTGGTGATTGAGCAGTCGCCATTCTTCAATCGCCACGAGATTATCGGCTCGAGCATGTTCATTGTCTATGATGATCAGCGCGTGGGCGCCTGGCTAATAGATTTTGCCAAATCGCGCCAACTGCCGCCACAACTGAGCATCAATCATCGCAGTCCCTGGACACCCGGCAATCGGGAGGAGGGTCTGCTCCATGGTATGGATGAGCTAATTCATGCTTTCGAGGAGGTCTACGCCCGCAGTGGCAGTCATCGCGGCTGCCTCAAGATCTAAGCTGGACGCTCCAACTTTTGCCCCGCCCACCTATATAGGCATATAAGACTGATTTGCACCACGTCCCATTTAATTGAGAATTGAAATTCATCATCCACACCATGCGGCGCTTTGACTATATTCCATATTGGAAGCAACCACCAAGCGCCAGACCTGGACTTGTAGATAATACATCTACACTTATATATATAAATATATATATATATATTCAGATATATATATTTATATAAAGAACGATTAGTATTGAGCACCAAGCAGCATTTGTTTGATTGAAAACAGGTTTAACTTGAATAAGTATTAAGTTTAAGAAAAAATAATCAACAAAATTACACATTGTGCATTTTTGGACGCAAGTAATAAAAATCTCAAGAGAAATAAGTTGAAAATTTAAAAAAATTAAAGTTTTTCTATTTATACTTACTATATCCAAAATAGGTATTATATACAAAATAATACTTTAACGTATTGCGGAACCACTTTTGAGTTCCGCTTATGTTTAACGATTCCGGAATTTGAATTAAGCTCTATTTGCTGGGGCTGTCTACGTGTTTCCATTTTCAAAATAGCTTGAAATGCGCATTGAATTCAATATAATAGTTTCCAATTGGACTGCAAATATAAAAAACATATATCTAATCAAATAACGAAGTACATTTTGAAGGATGCCCTTGTTGCCGAATAGTTCATTTTTTATACTTTGATACCGAAGATGTCATATTATATTCGTTTTGTCCAATGCCCTGTCTGTCCGTCAGTATAAACTGAAACTATGGTCTGTGCCTGCGTCAGACAAAGTCTACAAATGTGAGTGTTATGTTCACCAGGGGGCTAGGAAATCGAAATAATCGATATTCATCGATAAAGCCACATATCTCTCACAATTTTAAGGCCAACGCCACCAAATTTGGTTGGTGGGTTGTTGGTGATGTCCTTCAAAGATCGGCACGCCCACTTCCACCGTCCCCAGGCTCCCATCCCTACAAATTTGAAATGGTTATATCTTCCGCAGTTGTTGAGTTAGAGTAAATTTGGTATTTATATTATTGGTAACCGGCTTTAAGAACCGATAACAAATTTGCATGGCCCCGCTCACAGCTGCGCCCATAATCGCCAAAGTCGATATTTCGGGAAGTGTAATTCGATAAATCTGCATATCTCCCACAATTTTGAAGATAGAGTGACCAAACTTGTAAGGTGATTTGCTGGTAATCACCAAATTTTAAAAGTATCTTACTGGTAACTCTCCTAAGGGATCGATAAAAAATTGGATGTCCACGCCCACTCCGCCTCCCTGAACCGATACACCTGTTAGTGTAAATCGATAAGACCATATTTCGCACACAATTTGTAAGCTAGTCACCAAATTTGAGTAGTAGCACCCTTCCAAAATACGGGAAAACAATTTTGGATCACTTCCGCCCCTAAAAACGATAAAAGCCCATATCTTCCGCACTTTACGAGCTACAGTTACTTAACTTGGAATGTAGATTACTAAGATCGAACTCCAAACTTTTCAAAAGCCAAGTAATTTAAGAGCTGAATTTACCAAACTTGGAAGGAAGATTACTAGGAAACTTCTCTTATAATTTTTTCGGCCACGCCCACTCCCTCTCCCAACATTTTCAAAATCGCATATCTCCCGCAGTTTAAGAGCTACAGTCATCAAACTTTGAAGAAACGTTACTAGCTTATATCGATCGCAATTTGAAATGCAAACTTGGACAGTATTTCTACACCCACCCTGTCTTTGCTAGTTGTTATGTGCTGGGCTGACTTATGGTATCAAAGTATTTCGCAGTCGGTTACGCCAAACTGCAAAGTTCTCTCTTGTTGAACTTACAGAAGGTATAGTTTATGCTAGACTGGGAGGAGGAAGATTGAGTTGTCCTTATGAGCTGAGCAGTTCTATATTTTTTCACGGTTATGCAAAAAAGAAAATACATACTTTATAAATCTAATAATTCAATTCAAATCGTTTTCCATTTGATTTCAAAATGTATAGAATAAATATAGTGCAGCGTGAATAAAATACTTCATTATCTCTTACGTATATTTATATCCAAGACATAGAATAGAATATTTAATAACTACATGGTGCATATGAAATGATCCGGATCGATACTGGAATAAATATGCCCCTCGGATATCATAAAGTCCAAAATATTTCTGCAAAATATAAAGCATTAAACACAATTCAATAGAAAATTGTATATAGATCCCTTAAGAGAACTCACGTCATCTCGGACTGGCTGATGTGCGAGAACTTTGCGCTCAGTTCGCGCCGATGAATGCCCTCCTCAGAGCAGTTGCTCTTGATGGCCTGGAAGACAGCCAGCTGCTTGCTGTCCAGACCGGCGACAATGGCATTACTTTGACTGGCCGTCACATTGGGCATCAGTTGGTTGCTCGGACCTCCGTCACCTTTGTGATTGTACTCCTCAGCCTTGTAGCGCGAATGGAGCGCTTCCAGCACGTGGGTGCACACCTCGTTGGGATCGAGCACATTTAACAGCTTGAAGACCATCAGAACTTTTTGACCCGCCTGCGAACGCACGGAACCATAGATTTTCACATAGTTATTGAGCATAACATCGGGTGACTTGATGGCATCGCCCTCTTCCAGCCAGTAGTGTGCATCGATGCGACCACTGTGATCCTCTATAGAATAAGTAATCTTCGTCGATGACGTCTCAATATTGCGCACAATTCCAACGGCGCAGACCAAAGCGTAGGCGACATCGAACATCTTGAAATTGCCCTCGGGCGAATCAAGAATCTGTTTGACCAGCAATGAAATAATGCCCTGCACAACGAAACAAATGAAAATATTGCTTTGGGGACCGAAAAAATCGTATTTAAAATTTAGTTTACCTCGCCAGAGGATTCCTTTGTGGCGCCGGCTGTGGCCGTTTGTGTGGCATTGAAATCACCAACTTTGAAGAGAGAAAATCACATTATTACACAAGCCTTAAAGCTCTATATATCAACAACTTACAAGAATCATTCATTTTGCGGTGCGTGGAAATATTCAATATTTATTAAACAAATTTCACAAGATGTGCAAGCATCAAAACGCGCCAAAACAATAACGCTGGTCACACTCACGATACAATCCAGTTGGACGTGCGAGCGATAGCATCGTTGAGTGACATACCAACATACAAATCAGTATGTAAACTAATAATAACAAATGCTAATCAACTTTATCTAATTTTAGTGATTGCACATAAACTAATATATTTTCCATACAAGGACGCAATGTTTGACGTCACAAGTGCAACTGAGTTGTTAACAGATATGACAGAACCGCAACAAGCAGTCGTAACGTGTATGGGACACATGACAGAGCTGCCAACTTGAGTAAAGGAGCAGCTGATTTTCAATGTGTACAAATTACAGCGCCTGAAGATTTTGCCTGAGTCTAACTTAAAATACAAATTTTTTGAGTTGCTGTTTTTATAATGAATACGTTGCGGCCTTGTGGCTGCAAAGGCGTCCGTACTTGCCTGACCTGTGAGAAGGACTATGAAATTGAGAAACCATCGCTCCAACAGCAATTTCAACAACTAGACGCCTGGTCATATTGCACACAATGCAAAAGACTCTTCGCCGGATGGGATACGAAGGCGGTGCAAGCGGCGCATCCAGCGCACAATGGGGCTGAAAGTCTGCCCCTGCCTGGTATATTGGTGCAGGAGAAATTTCTATCAAGTACCGAGGGGGTACAGCTTATGTCCGACCTGGATAATTTGCCCTGGGTCATTTCACAAAGCGGTCGCCGCAAACAAAACTACGGCCCCAAGACGAACTTTAAGAAGCGCCGCCTGCAAGTGGGCGCCTTCGAAGGATTCCCCATTAGCACACAGTATGTGCAGGAGCGCTTTGAATCGGTGCCGCTGCTGCACAATTTCCAGACAATCGAACAGTGCTCGCTGGAGTACGATCCCAGTAAAGGTGCCAGCATAGATCCGCATGTCGACGACTGCTGGATTTGGGGCGAACGCGTTGTTACGGTCAACTGTCTGGGTGATGCGGTGCTCACCTTGAATCTATACGAGCAGCAGCAGCAGTCGGGCAAATATAATCTAGATCTGGTGCCGCAATACGAAGAGAAACTGCTGGAGCCGCTCTTAAATCCCCAGCAGCTGGCGACTTACGAGGGTAAAGTGCTGCGTATTCCCATGCCAAAGTAAGTAAAATGCCTCCAAATGGGGATGTAATGACTACAATGTTATGTTATTGGAGCAATTAGCTAAAGATTATTATGTATTATTTTTAGCCTCTCGCTGATAGTGCTTTATGGACCCGCACGCTTTCAGTTCGAGCATGCTGTGCTGCGCGAGGATGTGTCGGAGAGACGCGTCTGCATTGCATACAGAGAGTTCACGCCCATGTATATTGATGGCGTGGACAGGCAGCAGGGCGAACTAGTAAGAGACAAATCCCATTTGTTCTGGCCAATTAAAACACATTAAAGTCGAGTTTACTAAAAACTAAATTTACTTGGGCGCATTTTCGCAATCCTCTCGCCGTGCGGGCCGATAGTCGAGGAGGGCTACTTGAGCGGGCAGCTGGACACCATGCATGCGTTTGAGATGGGCGCGCAGATTACTGCTGGTGCTGAAGCTGTTTTGGCAGACGACACACTGATGGCTATTCGCATGCTTGTCCCGAATGTGGGCATTAAGATCCTTCGCCTTGACAAAGGCCGTGGTGCAATACTTGCACACGTGCGAGCGGCGCACGTGCGTCTTGAGGAACTGCTGGGAGGCATAGGCAAGTGGACAGTATTTGCACTTGTAGATGGCCTGACTGCCGCTGGGCTCGGTGTTCAGCAAACGGTTCGTTTCGTTGTACTCGTCCAGATTGTCGTGCTTCAGCTCAACGGCGGCATAATCCAAAGTGCGCAGCTCGTAGCTGGGAAATTGCATCAGATTTTGATCCATTTCGGATTGCTCGTGCTCGTCTAGCTCAGTGGCTGGCAGAAATTCAGATACGATCAGTGAATCTTCGTTGGCTAATCGCTGTGAGGGACGCGCTGGCTGCTCCTCTGTGCACAGATCCACAAACTGTTGCTGCGGCTGCTGCAATTCGTCACCAGCTACTTCTATCAGGTGAATGTCGAGCATCTCCTCCTCCTCCACATCTTGCTCTACCTCTCGTTGCTCCTCCTCTACAACCTGTTCCCTCTCCAATTGAGCCTCGTTGTACAACTGGCGCAGTTGGCGATTGGCAATCATCAACTTGCTGAAGTACGAATAGTGTGTGAGGCACTCGTCCAGACAGGCATGGCATATCATGGGCAGCTCCGATGTCAGATCCATCGAGATGTGCTGTGGCCCAAAATCGTGTGAGATGAGAGTATATTCATTTAAATATTGGCCATATTTTTACTTACAAGCATGGCCTGCATTATTTCGCATATTGTGTGCTCCTCCTCGATGTCGGCGTCGTTTGTTTGTCCGGCAGCCAGCACCTTGTGATGGGTAATGTCTATTTCGGCATTATCCACGAAACAAATGCGGCATAATTTCCGCAAATCTATGTTCATTTTATTTTCAATAATTGTCGCTAATTTAAAAATATTGTTTGGGTTCTTGGCTTTGATTGAACAGCTGTTGTACCAGGGCTGCATCAATGTTTGATTACGATATCGCAGAATGAGTCGAGCTTCCTTAGAAAAAATATCGATACCAAAATCGAACAGATTGCCAGAATTCAAATTGCATTTTAAGATATCCCAAAGTTATATGAATAACAACATTAAAAACTCTTTTTTTTTCTCTTTTCAAAATAAATTTTATTCAGTTTTTTTTTGTATTTTATTTTTGTCGCAATCATTTCTCTCGATTTTTAAAGTTAATTTATTATTTAAATCATTTAATTCCGATTTCGCTTATAATTAATTATTATCGTCAATGTGACGAAAGTTATTTGTCTGTCAATAATACTTATTGACAACAGACTTTTTATTAATTTTTTTTCTAATTTTGCGTCTTTTTTAATCTTTACATGCATAAATTGGGTTTCTTTTCATTGTGAAGTTTACACAATTTGCAGTAACGATTTATTATTAATTATGCAAATAGCTATTTAAATTGAATTGGTAGTTTTTGGTTTTGGTTTTTTTTTTTTTCAGGGATACTTTTGATGGGCGTTGGGATTTATTTAACGGTTTTCGTTTGGTTTGGTTTGGTTTTGGTGAGTTTTGGTGCTCAACATTTGCAGTTTTTAGCCTAGTTTTTGTATTTATTTAAATGCTAATATTCAATATATCTTTTAAAATGTGAACCGATCATTGTTTGTTAAGCACTATTGAGACTTTAGTTTTTATTTTGTATGCTTTCAGCTGCATAGACATGCAAGAAAACCAAAGTAAAACGGAAATGGCTGTTTCTTAAATTTTTCGAGCTGATTTTTATTGAATAAGACGAATCTGTGTGTTTTTGTATTGTGTATGTGTGTGTGTGCCAACATTTTGTTTAATTAACTTTAGCATTTAGTGTAACTCTGATCAGAAGGATTAGTAAGTAGAGTTTTTATTTTTTGTTTAGCAAATGATAAAATATTGTTTTATGACAATTTGCCACTGTGAGACGATTTTATTTTTCTTTGTGTTGTTTAAACGTTTAAACGTATTACTTTCTTTTGCTGTAATGTTAAATTCGTTTTTTTTTAGTTGCCCTCTCCTAATGTAGGACGCTTATGATATAGATTCTTTTTGCTTTTTCTTTTCTTTTCTTTTTTTTTTTTTTTTGTTAAATCGCCTATTTAATGCTATAGTATTATAATACATACATGTAGACTTCATTCTTTTAAAGAGTGTAGAAAATGGTTTTGCTTTTTAAAATAGCTTCTTTTTATCAAAAAGACATTCATACACGTATAAGTACATAGTAGTTCTAATTATGCGTCTAGTTGCTCGAAGAAAAGCACTAAATTAATTATGTAAAAAATCAAATACGATCTCAAATAGCCACAAACTAGGCCATACGCTTCCGATTCCAATTGAATATCATTGCTAATTGCGCGAATTGCATAAACAAAACTAATATGTCTAATTAGAAATAAAAATAGGTTTTCAAATAGTTCTCTAAACAACCTTTAGGGGGACAGACCAGTTATCGGTAGGATTACGCGTAATTAGCGTAAGCAATAAATTACATTATATCAAATCCAATTAAACATCCAAAAATGAGGGCCCTGTAGAGATAGTCGTATAAGCTTTAGATTTTTTTTTTCAGAGAATTAGTTTAGCACTCTTATGGATATTTCAAAGAATTTTGGTTTTTGTGTGATATTAACTAGCTGATACTTGAAGCACTATTTAATAGGAGAGGTAGGTGTGTGTCTGGCATTCAAATGGGATGCTGGCACAATTCTGTTAGAAATTTCAAAGACAGACATGGGAAATAGAGAAAAACTGACAGGAGATAGTATTGTGGGATTTAGCGAGTATGTGCGAGTTACACGGCAGTGTTCACGAGATAATTTTATTATGTGCTTTGTTATAACAAGGTAGGAGGTAGGTTTTTCATTGTTTTTGTTTGGTTTTGTGTGTAGAAAAGATGTACGCTAAAAGGTTTCATAGGTGGGTCTTTGAAAAGTTATACAATCTGGGAGCGTTTTACCGTAAATATCACTGTTTCGCTTTTGCAATAGAATTCAAAATTTTGTCGGCTCATTATAGGATACAAATCGGAAGTGTAAATGAAAATTCGAATTGAAATCATACGTAGGTTGTGAAAATTTCCAACAAAATTGTGTTGTTCTTGTAGTTATTGGGTTGGTTGTTTTGACTTTCTTTGTTTTTGTGATTTTTGGCTGAATTTGCTAATTTTCTTAGTTGTTGCTTGTTTCCCGTTTTATTAAAAATATATCTGTATGTTTACGAGTATATGCGGTGATATATGTGTCATAAAATATATATACACCTGTTTTTTTATTTATTTTTATTTGGTTTTCAATTTTTCATATTACTAGTTTGGTTTTCTTTTTATTTGACTAATTTTGTATTTCATTTAATTGGTGACTATAACTTGCATTTGGTTTTCGGTTTTTAGTATTCCCTCAATTTGCTACAATATTTCAACAATAAATTTTCTAAAAACAGCTTGTTCAATGAACGTATTCTCAAAGTATTTCTTCTGTTTGTTTTCTTTTTTCATTTGTTTGTATGCGCGTTTTAAAAATTAGTTATATGGTACTATATATTAATATGTATATATAATTATATCCATTATTATGTGTCAGTTTGTTACCATTTATGCCCACCTAGAATGCTATCCTACCACACCAAATGTTGCACACGCTCAGCAAAAACTAATATTGTTTTAATAAACTAAATAAAATGAGCTGTAAAGTCTTTTAAATATAACAATTCATATAAAACGTTCTAACTTACATTTGTTTTAAACAATAAGTTGTTAAACATCAAACTGTAATATTTTAATAACACATTTGGATACATTTTCAAGTAATAACAGAATAGATGACATTTAAGGGAAATACTTACATATTTCATTATACTAAAATAAATTAAAATTATTGAAATAAAAACTATGAAACTCTTTTCAATTATATTTAGTATGGTTTTATATTTAAATAACTATTGTTAAATTATAGATAAACTACTTTATAAATAGAGACGAAATATAAAAATCAGAATTAGGAAATTTTATTAAATTATAAATAAAATACTTTTTAAATGTTAAAGCCATGAAAATATAAAAATTGTACTTAAGAAATATTCCTTTGGTCCACGTGATGTAAACACAAGTTGAAAACTAACTTAAACTCATACAAAATGTATGAAAAAAGGTTGGTAAAATCCATTTCAGAATCTGCAATACTGGCCTATGAATAAAATGGTTCCTGTCCCTTGTTATTTGCATTTCTCAATTGAGTGGCTTCGTGTGTGTGTGTGTGTGCGTGTGTGCGCTTTTTAAATACATATCTAATGTCTCATAGGAACAATCTCTCTTATATACATACATATAATGTATTCGCTTCCCTCTATGTGTGTGTCTGTGTGTGTGTGTGTGCTTACATACATAAATTAAAACAACAGAGCATGATTAACTGATAAGTTTCGTCATTGTACATACGAATACATATACACACAAATTTGCATATATGCATGTACATAATTGCAAAATCCTTTTTGTCCTTTTTTGAAACGTCTTTCTGTATTTTTATTGCTATTACTATGCAAATGTTGTATATTTGTTTTGTGTCTTGTTCTTTACTTGGTAACTTTCATTTTGTTTTTTTATTAATATTTTTTTGTTTCTTATCTTTTGACTTAGACAATTTGGTTTTACTTCTTATTTATTCGGTTTTTTGTTGTACGGCAGTAATTTTTGCTTTGTTTTTTTTTAACTTTTACTTTCATAAAATATTTATTTTGGTACACTTACGAATTGTGTAATTTAAATTTTCCATTTCACATGTGAAATGCTGTTGTGTATCGATTTTTCTTTTGTCTATTTTAATATTTGCTTCATTTTCTTCTTATACTTTGACTTAAAAATGTAATTAACAATTTCATTCCTTTTATTTTTTTTCTTCCTTTGAAGCAGTTTCGCTAGTTTTTGTTTTGAAAAAAGAACTTAAACTAGGCATGTCTTCATATACAATATACTCAGGTATACATATATATATATATGTGTGTGTGTATGTGTGTGTGTGTGTGGATGTTTGTTTGTGTGAAGCTTAACGTGTCTAAATTGAGCGGCCTTATTGCACGATTATGTGCGGAGCTGAGAGCAGCACGGTTACCGTTGCAATAATCGTAAAGAGGGTAAAAACAATTAAACAAAATCTGTGAAGTAGAAATAGAGAAATTCGATATAGTATTAGTTGTACTAACATTGTTATACGCCATATACATATAAGACAAAATGGCGTCACATGCCGCCATTTTTATATATTAATGCCACATGTAGTGCATATGTGTGCGAGTGTTATTATGCTATGCAAACAACCGGAAGTTGTGTGGCCATGCGACTGTTGGCTTAATTGTTTGATTTGGTACAGCGTGAGGTGCGCTTAGTAACCACACTGTTTGCAGGCACTGTGCTAGTTAGTTGGTGACTAGACATATGTGTCTGTTTAATATGTGGCAGCGCGTTGCATGAAGATTCCCATCGTTGAGCCAGCAGCAATAATTTCTAATGTAAATATGTCATATAAATATTAATTTGTGTTTTTTTTTTTTCAAAATATTCCACTTTACATTTTTTAATGAAAGCACCAAATTATTGGCTTTAATTTCTAGAATAGGTATTAAGCACAAAACAAGATTGGTATCGATATATTTGAAAAACGTATATCTGATTTTGTGGGAGTGAAGTTATCTACAAGTTGGTTAATGTCAAATTAAAGTCGATATATATGCAATTTATTCTAAGTTAATGTTTTTTGAATAATACATTTTAGGGTTATATTCAAGTTTTTGTAATCAGATATTCGTTTTATTCTGTAACTCACCTATCCACAACCATTGCAGCGAACTTCCAATCACTTATTAATTCCGCTTCGTCGTCTGCTTTGCGCATGCGCGCCGTAATAAATTGCAATTCTTTAAGAATTAAGTGTAAATCTTTGTGATTGCAGCCGATTGCAGTATGATGCTCCTCCACCGTTGTGGGTCGGCCAAAGCTACTGCAATATCGATAAGAAAATGTTCAATTTTAAAAAAGAATAAAGTGTTTCCTTATAAGCTGAATACTTACGCTGACGAACCGATGGCGGTTTGTGACCCTGATATTGTATGACGGAAATCGTCATCGATATCGAGGACATTGGCTAATAAGGATTTGGAGGAACGTTCCTTCAATTCCAGCTCTTTCATGCGATTGCTTAATAATATTGATTTGCGCGTGATCTTGCGACCAGGTCGACCCATGCGCAGTATCCAGGGCAGCCATTGTAGAAAAACGGATTTAATCTAAAAAATAATAAAACATCCAGATATGTATTTAAGTGTTTAATTTTGGGATTCAAAATTAATTCAAAACTATGTGTCAGCATATATTGTATTATATTATACCATTAGAGACAAAATCAAAACCAAAGTCGTTACGTCAAAATTTTCTGTAGGATTTCTTGGCACTTACCCACGGTGGCATCTCATGTATATCCGCTGTGCGATGATGATAGTTAAGCACCACAACCGTGAGCACCACAGACGATGCAACCATGAACATGATACAATTGAAATATGTACCTAAAATTTGTTGATATTTTTTGTATCGGCGAATAACAAACAAAAAGAGAAAAATGTTCTCGATATTAGTTTTTAGTTCAATTGGCCCAAGCAAGTATACGCAACACTAAGAACAGAAGCTTTAGAAATGATAATGTACAGTAAAAATAGCATTAACATTACGTTAGTTAGTTTGAAATCATGATAAATAGTAGGTTTGAGAATTCGAGAGTGATCAAGTTTACTGTGTTTAATTCATGGTAATCAATTGCTGTGATTTATCGCATGCACCCGATACTACATGATTTTACTGGGTATTCACACATGCGCTCGATTTCCTATTTTAAATGTTTCACGTTTACAACATGCTTTAACATGCATTTATGTCGGTTTATATTTTATGTGGTAACCATGCATAATTTAATTAAATTGAATAAGTTGTGGATATAAAAGTCAGTCAAGTAGTCAAAACGATAACGTATGCATAAAAATAGTATGTTTATTATAGAAACATGATTTTATAATATTTTAAAATGTAAATGATTTTTCAGATATGATTTTCAAAAATTCTTATGTTATATTTTACTATTCTTTTGTAGATTATATATTTTTAGAAAAATATGAAAATTCATTGCTATCCGAAAGTGTAAATTTACAAGTGTAATAAGCTGTTTAAATTATTATTAGATTTATGATTCACAAATCCAAACCCATTTATTAATTTTGACTGCTTGACTGTCCTTAAAAAAAAAATATATATATATATATTACAAGGTTATTTCAAAAGAAAATTCATGCACAAATAAAATTGAAGCCATTCTTTTATTTTTACAAGTAAGATCTGAGTTTATGTTGATTTAATTGCTCTGGTAAACAAGTTGTAGTTTTTTTTATATTTATTTTTGTATTAATGTTTTAAGTTTTATTTGTATGTTTGTCATTGGATTATCGAAGGAAGGTTGTTTATGGTATGCTTACTGTATTTATTTAATATTTGGTTTTTAAGTAAAAATTGTAATATTTGGTTTAAGGCGCTTTACGGCTTACGATTTACAACAATTTAGTCAATAACTTAGTCAGCTTTTGATACTTGGATGTGAGGAATTTCGAACGTTTCGATTTATACAACATATTTGTATGTAGATATATATTTAGTATTACTTAAAGCATAGCTTGCATACGTGTGCTGTATATGTATTTAGTTTTCAGAAGGAGATTTCAAATGTAGGTTGTGGCAAGCAACTAAAGCAAAGCACCCTCAGAAGCGTCTTATATGGAGTAGTTAGCTGGTTTGGAATTAAAGAGAATATTATAGAGTGGAAAATATCCTTGCAGTGGTTCTATGAAAGTTTCCCAATATTTGTAACAGTACGAAAAAAAACATTTATGATCTTTTATTAATAATTCAAGTGATGTTAGACAAATTATTTTTGCATAAGTATGTAAGTCAGAATTAATCAGATTAGTTATTTGAGTTATTTTGTATTAAAGGTATAACATCACATTCTTTTTAATCTATTGAAAATAAAAATCAAAAACTCATAATTTAAATATTTTTCATGTGCTTAGTTGTTCGTAGGTTAAGTTAAGATTAAATTAGTCTGCAAGGATATTTACTATTCGGCGTGCCGAATCCAACTACATATGTGTTTGATAGTTACGGTTTTCCGTGGGAACGCTGTAGTTGCTTTTTTGTTTACTCTTATTTTTTGCTGAGCATTCCACTTAACAAGAGAATATATAGTAAAAAGAGGTTCAGCCAAAGTCTAAAGAAGCATTTGATATGGATGTTTTTGGGGAGGTAGTTTGTTTGGGTTAAGCTACGGCAGCCAGAAACATTTTGCATTTGTATCTGTTATCCTTTGGAGTTGTACTTCATGCTCATTAATTTGAGCTTATGCTCAGTTTTTTTTTTACCTACTTTTAACGCCCTGCAGAGCGGACTGCAGTCGTACTAATTTTTAAATTTTGTACAAGATATAATAATTTTTGATTTTTAATTTTAGCCAGCTGATTTTTTAAATATGATAACTTTTCGTTTGCTACATTCGTTTTTTTTTTTTTATATTTTGTTAGCAGCTAAAAGAGAGAGAGAGTTTGTATTTTTTTTTGTAAAGAACTCTAAGAATTTGTCGAAGTTGTATTTTTTTATTGTATGTTTTTTTTTTCAAATGATAAAGCATAACAGTTAAATTAATTAAGAGTGTGTTTGTACTAGTACCTAGCAGCGGTACGGCCTCGCTCGTCTTTGTTATGACATTGCCGACCAGTAAAGAGAAAACTGTTTGCGACAGCAGAATTGTAACACCTGCAAATATTCGGTTCGAAAACAATTTTTGGTATTTATAGCAAAATTGGAAAAATCAGAGGACACCACAGATTTGGGAGTTTGAAGACCGATCTATGCGGTACTATATGTTTTGTAGTTATGGGTTTATACGTTGGATTAGCTGCCAAAAAGTTGTGTGTAGGTTACTTATCAAGCGATTTTATAGGTATAGCAGTAGGAGAGAGATAGAAAGACAGAGAGGGGAGACAGAGAAAAGATTGAGAGGTCTGCTGACAGGAGCTGTGTATAACACTTATAGATCATCCATTAACTCTAGATCTATTTGTATAAAAAATAATCAGAATGCTATGGAAATTACCTGAGATATTACAATTATATATTGGATATTGTGAAACCGAGGTTTCGTTCTTTTCAAAGAGAAAGAAATTTTTAGCAACTTTAAAGATCCTCTTTGATCTATTTACAGCTCGTGTCAGGCAACACTTCTATTTACTAAATGATATTTTTTGGCTGAACCTTTTTAGTTTCTTGCTTCTGTAATGGAATGCTTTTGTATTTGTAAACAATGCCTTGTGGGTGCATTTGCTAGGCTCAAGTGATAATATGTAAGTACATAGTATATATACTATAATTACATACAGTGTTTTTTTTAAGTTAAGTTTTGTTGATTGTTTATTGTTTATTTGTTATTATAGCGTTTTGTTATGGCAGTGCATTCAGTTTGAGCAGGTCTCTAAGCCTGCGTCAATCTTATGGGTTAGCAATCAAAAAAAGGGAACAGCAAGCGAATGCAGAGTTACAAATTTTTGACCCATTCTGCACAAACCAAACGGAACTCTTGATTTTTTAACGAAATGATATTTTTTTCAGCCTGTTCTTGTGTGTAAAGTCTTATTATTTAAAATTGGTCAAAAAGGTTCTCGAGCAAAAAATATCATTCCGAGAAATGGGTCAAAAAGGTGTAAGGACAAATAAAGCAAGTATAGCATCAAAAAAAATATAATCAACTTGTATGGAATCTAGTTCAAAAATTAGCGAATGGATTTTGTTCGAGTTTGGGTTTTCTGTGTATTTGTTGCGGTGAAACTTTTTGTAGCTCATTCTCTTTGAATCGAGTGGAATTAGGTGGAACGGTGGAGCAGTGGGTGTACATATATATATATATCATATGGTGATGCTATTAAAACAAGGTGAGGTGGCATGAGTGAGTGAGAGCGAGTGAGACAAATCAAATATGAAATAAGTACAAATCAAAGCTATTAGCAAAAATAGTTAAATAATACCATAAGGAATAATATATCTTTCTTTCTTTCATCTTCATCGATCGGCGACGTTAGCGACGATAATTGTCGGCATTTATTTGTAAAAACACATTTCACAATATTTCACAAGTATTTTCCCAAACTAACTTGCATTGAAATCTGTCTCATAAGTATCTTTTGTAATTACATTTTTTTTTTGGCTAAGAGGAGTTACATAATTGTGAAGTGGAAATAAGTACATAAGTGTGTACTCAATTAAATATATTTAGAGTTTGTTTATCAAGAAGTTGGAATATATATTTGTAGAACATTTACGATACGAAGCTTTTTTTATGTGGTGTGTTTATTTTTGTAATGCAATATAACCTGTTGAAAAGGGGGTTTCAGATATATTGGAAAATACATTTTTTTGAGATATTTTATAAATTGCACAGGGTTTTTATTAAGTGTTCAAAGTGAGTAATTAAATGATTACTTTTAAAATTTGTTGGGAACTTCTTTTAAACGTGTTTCAGGGAATCGTTTTATAAATATACTTAATGTCATTATTTGTAAATCTGAAAAACTTGATTCATAATATTATTATTTTTTTTTCACTGATTCTTTATTTTTTTTTATAAGTCATGATAAAGGTAAGATAAAATATATATATTTATAATACTTTAAAAAATATCTGAAACGGACTGAAATATACTTTTTCATAATTCAAATTAGTAAAAATCGGACAGAATTGGTTGAAAATTAATATTTTGATTAGAATAACTAGAATAACTTTAGATAAGTTAATTCTTATTGCGATAGTTCTATTGCATCATTAAAAGTGAAAACAACACCAACTTGATTCAGGAAATTTGAGTATAATGTATATTGAAGTGAATTGGAATCATTGGCGCATGTATTTGATTAGTTATGTGCTGATTAATAGCTACTATATATAGAAGAGTATTGGTTAATAGTATGTCAGCCGCGTACCAATGACAAGTGAAGAAGTTAAAGAGAAAGTTGAGTTAGGATTTTATAGATCAGAAGTGTGGGTAAGTAGATAACGATAGCATTTAAAAGATTTCTGGTTCTGTTTGACGTTGCTAATTGTTTTGTTATTGCAAAGGGAAGGCAGTGCCGTTGCACTGATCTTTGGTATGTCTACCGAGAATTTTGACGAATGGATAATATTGAAGAAGAGAAGAGCGAGAGAGAAAGAGACGGAGTGTTTTATAAAAGAGAGAGAGAGAGAGAGAGATAGCAACATAATAATATGATCAACTAAGAAACGACGTCATTATCATATATATATAGAGTATTTAAAGCTCAATTTTAGAACGAGAGAGAGAGAGAGAGAGAGATAGTTAAGTTGGTTTAGTTTAGTTAGTAGTTTAAAACTTGTTGTAATTAGTAAACATAGTACGAAGTACACAATTAACATTTAACAACTTTTGGCACTTTCTGTTGACTTTGGTTTTTTGTTAGGCTAATACTTTATTTAAGTTAAGATTTGATTTTTTTTTTTTTGGTTTTGGTTTTAATTAAGGATTATATATGCGAACAATTTAGCAATGTGTGTGAGTAATCATAATAGATATATATATATAACAACAATAACAATAATATTTATGAATATATATAGATATATATATATATATGTACGTATATATAAATCATATTAAGTAATTTGTTAATTAATGTTTTTTTTTTTGGTTTTTTTTTTTTTTTTTTTTTTGACAAATTTGAATATATATTTGCATTTTTATGTTTTTTTTTAAATGCAATCGCTACCTAACAAGGGGATTGCATCAGATACTTGGGGCAATGTCTCAGCTACAAGGTTGAGAAACACTGTGAGCGATAGAAGAATTGTAACTCCTGAAACAAAAGAATTTCGTTTGATAAAATACAATTGAAATAATGACACAAGAAATTATAAATTAGAAAACGTATGTGTGTAGTTGTTGTGACATAAATGAAACTTAAAAGCAGACATATTCAAGGGCATTTCATAAGTTGTTGTAGTTGTAGTTGTAGTGTTTGTTGTTGCTCTTGTGGTTGTTGTAGTAATTCGTGTTCAAGTTGTTGAGATAGCGAAAGTTTTCTGAATATTGTAGTTATGTTTTTCGATGCGCAGCTGCGTTTGTATAGTATTTAGTGTTGTACTCGTTGTGGTTGCTATTGTTTTTATTTTGACTGACCAAATTTGCGCTATTTGTATGTACTCTTAGTGGGTTGCTTTGATTTCAACCTGAATCTCAACGATGTGTGCTTGCAAGTAAATGAGTATATGCTTTGTTTATGCTTTGAAGTCAACATGAAACTCAAAATCAGGGTGGGGCCGTGGTCGGTATATTAAAGGAGCTAGGTCTGAACTCAAGCATTTCGTAATCTGTGGAAATGTTTGTCTGGGGTTATATGTATAACAATACGCACAATATATAAATAATGCCAAATTGGGGTGGTAAGCTTTCTCAAAGTTAAATGTTGTGAAAATTTGGAAAGACAAAATGCAACTAAATTGTACAGAATTTAGTAGAAATTACTACTTTCATAGAGATTAGCTTCGCTTGTATTTGCTAAGCCTTAACTCATCCGGACGTTTGTTGTTACAGATGATCGACAATTAATTTTTTAATAAAATTAATTAATATAAATATACTTTTATCAGACGACATACAGACTGAACTTACGATCATAAGTCGGATTTAGTATATTAGTAATAAATAGCCAATCTTAACAGGATGAGACTATTACACAATCTAATTAACAAATATTTCGATCAAAAACTAAAGTATTTTCTATGATTCTTTTTAACTTCTTTCCTTTGTAAATATGTGTGCCCAGAAGCAGTGTTTATTACAGATTTTCAATTATAGTTACCCCGTTCTTAGGAGTTCATCGACTTTTGTACGCTGATACCAGCACTAAACATTTTGGCACAAATTCTCACAACATTCTGAGTAAACTAATGCTTTCATTTTTCATTCTTTTTTGTGGTTTGTTCAACTTTTCAAAAGCTTAATGGTGGTGTAAGGTGCACATCCTAACAACTTTTACCCATTAAATTGCGTCAAGAGAGAGAGGCAAAGAAGTGAAGTTACCAAGTGACAAGTGGCAAGTTTTTGTCGTTACTTAAATGAGCAGAATTTGTAAATTGAACTGCACTTCGAACTAGGGCGCAAGTCTTGGCAATGTGTTGAGCGTTTCGTGCCAATTTGCCACGCTCACGAAAGCACGCAGTGCCCAACATGCGGCTCATTTAATTTTCTACGTGCGAACCCGGTTAAATGTCGGACAAGTGGGAAATACTTGAAAAATTGTTGCGCACTGCATGCAAATTATCTGGATTTGTTCGTTAGCGCTGTTTGGGTCGTTGTTGGAAGTTGAGGGTTGATAGGGTTATATATGTATGTATATATAGTTATATTTCGTATACATGACATAATATGAACGCATGATTGGCGATACGATATTATGTGGAGTTGCAAGTCTACCATCTGGTCAAATGGATCTGCATAAATGCAAGTTCAAATGTTGCGCTGAGTCTATTTTTTTTTAAATTTTTTAGTTTCAGTTTAGTTGAGTTCATTTAGCGGGTTGCGGGCTTCTGTTTATAAGTCGGGAATTTACGGATGCATAAGTATGAGCTTTTTTAGGGCATATATATTTTCTATTGTTTTTTTTATAGTGTTTTTTAAGAGAGAAATATTTTTACTTAGTTAATTTTTTTTAGGAGGTGTTTTGTGGTTAGTTTTGGGGTGTGGTGAAAATATTGTTTTCTTATGGTGCAAGTACGAAGAGTTCTTGCCAAAACGAGACAGGTTGCGAAATAGAGGGAGAGAGAGAGAGAGAGAGAGCGAAAGAGTGAGAGATTGAGTGAATGAGTAAGTTAGTGTCTTGTGGTTGTTGGCTAAGACTCAGTTGAGCAATGATTTTTTGGCCTCTTAACCTCTGGTTTGTTTTGCATGCGCTTTCAGTTTATTCTTGTCGTTTTTTGGCGTTTATAGTTCTGCTATATTCTTGTGGCTGTGATTGCTGTTGGTGTGTGCTTGTACTTACGTCAGTTCAAAAGAGTGTGTTTTATTTACAGTAGTTGTTGTTGTTGTGTGTGTGTGTGTGTATGTATCTTTTTTTCTTTCGTTTCGGCAAATTTGTATACTGGCTGTTTACTGCTTATAAGTATTTCAATTTAAATATAATACTCGTATACCTACCAAAAATCTACAATGCATACAAATGTTGTTTTTATTTCTTAGGCTAAATATTAATATAGATGTTTGTATGTTTGTATTTGTCATAGATACATATATATGTTTTGTTATTTGCCTAGCTGTTTTTGTTCCTCTCTACTTTACCAAGTATCAAAATGACATTTGGCTACGATTTTTCTCGTTTTTCATATTTTGCCTTCAAATACAAACCTTTACCAATGTATACTTTGCGTGTTGTTGCTTTAATAATTGATATGCGTTATTGTTTTATGCATACAAAATCATAAAATATCAATATGACTATTTTTACATATTGTCAATGGAACTGGTGAACTTTATCAAATTAACTGAGCTACTATTTGTACTTGTTTTTGTTGTATTTAGTTATTGCCGTCAGGCAAATGCGAGTGCTATGTTCTATTTTCTAATTTTTGGTTCGACTGTCACAGAGCAGGCCATTAAAATAGGAACACTATATTCTATTTGTAGTTAGATGCTCTGGGTAGCAAATTTGTGTTTCACAAAAGTTTGTTGGATTACTTTTAATTCTTTATATCGAAATTACACATGCTGTGAAGATTAAAAAAATTATCCAAAATTCAAGATAGATATTTGAAATTTTGAAAATATATATATTTTTTTATTATTTTGTTTTTCTCCGTAATCCATCGGATAGTGTTCTTTTTTCTTGACCTTAGCTGTAGACTTTGTCAAAATGAAACAAAAATTTGTTCGATTTATTATTTTGTTATTGATTTGATCTGACTGTTTGGCTTATTTGTGGGCAGTTTTGTTGGTTAGTTTTATATTTGGTAGCGAAAAAAGGTTGTTCGTTGGATTTTTCATAGTTTGTCTATATACAATTTAGCTTTATATTTAGTAAACATTTAACGAGTATATATGAATATTGCGTTTAGTTGCGTTTCGTCTACTTTTATAGGCTGCTAGGCTTTATATTTAGTTGATGATTCAATTGTTCAGGCAATAAATGCGATCTGCACAATATGATAATATGTATGATACACTACTCATTTAGAGAAGCTTATATACATGATGAGCGGTTTGGCTTTGATTTAGTTAATTAAGGTATTTATTTTATTTCCAAATTAAATTTCATCAGGCTAAAAAACATAGAAGGAACTGAAGAGTTTAACAAATGATGTCGTATATAAAACAAATATCAGCTAAAGCGGCAAACACGTTTAGAAAACATACAAACCGACAGAAACAACACGAACTGATAAAACTAAGTGGGCAACAGGATTAACATACGTTTTTTGTTTTTGTATAAACAGCAAATGGAAAATAAAAAACTTGTTGCGATTCGATTGTGAAATGTGGTACATGTCTGGTTCAGGTTGGCGTTTTGTGGTTCGTGTATCGTGGTTCGTGATTTGTGACTCGTGACTCGTGACTCGTGAGTGTTTTCGGTGCGTATTTCAGTGTTGTCAAATACCAATTATGTCAGAGCTTTTGCCGCGCATATGTTTCTAGACTACATCGATCAGCTGAGCAAAGGATTGTGATAAGAAATAAAATTAGGGTTAAGATCAAAGTACGAGATAAGAACAGTAAACATATTTGGAAAGTTTTCAGCTAGCTAGTTAAAGAGTGAGAAGAAGATGAAGAAAACTTGCTGCAGCTGCATTTTGTTACTTTACATTTGTTAGACAGATATAGACAGAGAGTGAGCGAGCGAGATAGTTAGACAGTTCAGTGAAGGTTTCGTTTTTAATTTGGATGTGTTTTTTTTAGGTGTGTTGCTTGTGTTCAGTTTTGGTATTGGCTATTGCAAAGGTCTATCCAAAAGTTCCGGCAGGAAGAGAAGTTTTAGCTGGCTGAAACTGAAATATTTGTTATGTGGCACAGTTAAAAGTCCGGAAGATAAAGTATTATCTATTTGCAAACATACGTATAGAATAAGATGGTATATAGCAGATTTCATTCTCCGTACCATTCAATGTGTGTGTGTGAGTTTTGAAGTGTAGTAGAATTTAAGATCTAAATAATTGGTATTTTTTTTTGTTTCGGATTTGTTTTCAAGTTAGTTTTTTTTTTGGTTTGGTTTTCTTGTTATCGTATTGTTTTCATTGCACTACTGTAGTAAAACTAATGATAACTAAAACAGCATTTAGGCACAGCACATCTTTCGATTCGTACTGCATTTGTTAGGATATGGTAGCTTCTTTTCTTGTATTATTTTTTGTTATTTTTGGGTAACGTTTTTTTTTTGTAAACAATTATTTAAATAAATAGCGTGTGTGTGTACCTATAAGAGGAACAGCATCCGACGTTGTCGGCATTGACTCAGCAACAAGGTTTAGAAATACTGTTAATGATAGTAGTATAGTTACGCCTGGAACAAGAGATACAATAAATACGTATATAAAAAATATTTAAATAAAAAACTAAATGACTGAAAATTTAAAGATAAAAAGTAAGAAATATTATTAAAAATATATATTTGTGGCAAATTGTTCGTTAACTCATTTAAGTCTTTAGTTTAAAGCTTTTTCTTTTTTTTTGGATTGGTTGGGTTTTTGTATTTCTTTTTATAGGTCTTTACTTTTAAGGGAGCTTTACAATTTTTGTTGTTGGTCTACAACTTTTAGTTAGCATGTTAAGAGTGTTGCCTGTTGGGGCAGTTGCATATTTGATTATAGTATTTAGGATCAACTTTAGCAAAAAGCAACACTCGTTCAATTTTATTTTAAGTCTACTTCATTTTTAGAAATACTGGAGAAAGAAAACATGCATTTTTTTTAGTCTAAACTATCTTTAAAAGCAGCGTACAATATATATATTTTAAATTTAGTTTAAGAGTTTTATTATATAGGTAATTATATGGTTAAATCCAGCTAAGCCTCATTTCGCTACCGCTGCTTTACCTCACAAAAATATATATTTATGCCCTAACTAAGTGAATGATATCGAATTTGATTTGTAGCACATTTACCGCACGCTGAAAAACTTGCAAAAATTGGTTTTTATCAAATATATCTGGTCATTGGGGGGCAATCAGTGTTGTTAAGTTTTTCTTTGGTTTTTTTTTTCCTTTACATCTCGATTTTGTGCAACTTGCATACTCACCCAGTGTTAATTTTTCGCCCGAATCCGGCGGCAATGTGAAGCCCAGCAGGGCCATTGATGATATTAGCACGCATGGCACAATTAAATTGAAAAAATAATATAAAGTACGTCGACGTATTTGTATAGTAAAGGTGATATCGACATATGGTTCTGGGCAGCACTGGTAGACTATGGTATTCTTCTTTCCGGGCATGGCTGAACGATAAAATTCACGATTAGTACAATATGAACGAACAATGTTGAATGACACTGACACAATAGACACATATGTACAAATCATTTGGTTTTTTCATCATATATTTAAATAATCTACATATATTGTACGAAAATTATAATTTATTTGAAGAGGCAGCAAATGAAAAGATCTATGAAGCAATTTTGATAAAGCGACAAGCTAAACATTTTCTACAAAATATTCCATATTTACACAAAAATTATAGAGTAAATGATAGTAATTAGAATTACAGTTAATTAGGTTGGTTAATGATTTAAATAGACATTTACACGTGACAACGTTAAAAAAACAGTTAGTGAAATAAACATTAGGTTTATGATGATTTTTACTAACCAAGCAAGTACCACTCGCCATTTGTTATGAAATCGGAAAGATCCCCTCCATCTTCGGAATTCAAAACCAAATCCAACTGTTTTATTTTTCAACAATTTTTTGTATTTCGATGTGTTTTTTTTTTTTTTTTGGAAAAAAATTAGTTAGCCATTTTTGTCGACAAACGAATTTTATTGTTTAATTTTGGAATGTTTGGTTGGTAATTGTTTTGAGTTTTATTTTCGGTTTTTTTTTCAATATTTGGAGAAAAAGAAATGTAACAGTTTTAGTTTGATTTAATAATAAGTTAGAGAATTTACTTAAAGCCACGTTGAAACAACATTTATGTACATAAAGAGCATGTGTTTCAGGTGTACGAGCGAAAGAGATAGCGAGCAAAAGAAAGATCTTTATTTTGTATTTTTGATTTGTGTTTTTTTTTTTTCGTTATATACTTAGTTATTAAGTACTGAAATTGCGTTTTTAGTGCAAAGAAACGTGGAAATAAAATTAAACTTTACTGAAAATTTTTGTTTTCTTTTTTGTTTGACTTCCATTAAGAGTCTTTACATACGTCCAAAATTCTTCGATTTGATAATATTATATTTTTTGGGCGTGGTTTGGCCTGCTAACATGCAAAATAGTTGAAACTGAAATTTTTCAGTGCTGCCATATAGGCGAAAAATTTCAAGGGTCTCACACATGATTCCGTTCCTATAAAAGCTTAATTGTGCGCTGTCCAGTGTTGGCTAACGCTTACAATTACAAGCGAGCACAGCTGGCAGAACACAATAGGCATATTATATTGTTATAGTAACTGTTTCTATAGTCTTGGCCTAAAATATTCAATGTCTGATTGAACATTTTAGCCAACACACTGAACCGCATTTCGAGTGCTCGAGCACTCTTTGACAGTTTGGTTTTGTAATTCGCAAAAACGCAAAGAATTGTTCGACGTGAGGGATATAAAATAAACTTGAAGATAGATTGAGATAGAGATAGATTTTGGAAAAGCATAAACGAAATCAGAACGAGCTTCCGCACTCTTGAGTTTCTTTCTTTTTTTTTAAGGTCGCACCTCAGTCGCTATATATCCCTATCCTTAGTAGTCAGCTCCCTTTTAATATTCTGCCCATTTATAACCGACTGCTTTTTGTGCATGTGCACGAGTTTTGTGCGTGTGTTAGTTTGTATATGTTTTTTTTTGTGTGTGTTAGCAATAAGCGTGATTGTGACCTCTGTGAATGTGATCTGTGTGATGTTTGCTGCACTGCACTGTACCGAGTACTGTTAGCTCTTGTGGTTGTATACTGTACTTGATTGTACTTGTAACTGTGTACTAAACACTTTACCTGATTTCCATCGTAAGTCCAACTACCGAATTTCATTTCGCAATGTTGGTCATCAAATGGGAACCACGTGATGTCTATCTTGCATGTGCTCTTGAAGATACCAGGGGGCACGTACAGACAACTGCCGTTATGTTTGACCACAATGTTGGTGTGATACGTGCCATCGAATCCCTCATCCGCGCTAAATTATTGTACAATATTGTTTATGTATTATTCTTCGCTTTTTTTTCTTTTGTTACTTTTTTAATTGGTATAGTTTCTTTTATTTGTTATATTATTCGAATTATTTTGTTTTTCTTTTTGTAATATTTTTTTTTGTATTTAATATTTTATAATTTTTTTGTTTCATCTGATTTGCGCTTTGATTTTTGTTGTCTAGTTAAAAAAGGGTTTTTTCTTTGGAACAGGCTCTGTAAGACTTGGGATCTAGGGAAGTTGTAATTTGTTCAGTGTTGCTAGGATAGAAGAGCTCAGGATTCTATATGCTAGGTTCAAGTCTTAAGTTTGTGTTGTTGGGATCCGTGTTATTCAAATAGTAAATGTATACGTATATATTACTACTTATGGATATTTTCTAAGTTTTTATAAGCTATGCAACACGGTACTTAACCTAATAATAATTTTCTTTTCGATTTCAGATCCTAACTTTTAATATTTAAATTGGACTTTATGTTCTTATATTTATTTATTTACATATGCAAGCTATATAGATTTATACAAAGCAATTCCCAATTATGAGAAATATGTTATCTGCTCGTGTTTGCCAAAATAGCATATTTAGATTTTGCAATAAATGTCAGACTAATTTTAATAACTAATAACCAAAAAGTATAGCATATATATTTGTGTAATGTACGGGCTAGCCCCATATATATTTTGGTGTAAGCGGCATTTCAACTGTCTGCACTGCCTGTCAGCAAAAATGAAATCTGCTGGATACAATATCTGTATCTATTTGCATGTTGGCGCACACATTATATGTAAATCAGCAGCATAAAAATTGTGTGGTTTGAAGCCTGAAACAAGAGGACTTCAGATATATATATATATACATATATATATATATATATATATATTGTGTATTTCCATCTCTTGTATTGCAATAAAATGCAATTACTTTTATTTTTTGTACTCAAAAACTGTTGTACAAACATTTTGTACGCTATTTGCATAGATATTTTGAGTTACAAACTGTTTGCAGTCATTTGGCGTACTTTTGCGGTCAACGTGACTTATACGCAATTTGTGCGGCACAAGCACACAAATCCATGTATATATATGAATATATATAAACACACACTCACAAACACACATACTTTAAATCATGGCGATTGTGATTTTGCGGTTAAAGTGTGCATTTAATTGGCGAGCACTACACCTGTTCGTGGGCGTGCTCATAGCGTGTGGGCGTGGTCAGCTTACATGCTATTGTTGCGGCATTTAAGTGGAATTTGTGCTCCGATTAGCGGCCGTTGTAATGTCGGCTAAGCATGGACAAGTCCATGGGCATAGCCCAGCTGGTGCGCATTCAGGCTTGAGAGATTGTGGCCAGCTCTATCTGACGTGCAAACGCTGCCACAGCAACAACCATGAAAGCCTCCGCAATTCGACTAATTGGAGCAACAGTTGCCACATTCCCGACATTGGTAACTGCTTAGCCACAAACCAGAAATTGTAATCGAATCCAAATTAGTTTCTAATTGCGTTGAGGAAAAAACACTTCAGTTCGCTTGTATTCAAAACGTTACCCCAAACATTTATACCAGCAATCAAAAGACCAATGACAAATTATTTCGCTTGGAAAAGGACTTTGGTTCTTTTTTTTATTTATCAATATTCAATTTACTAATCAAATCAAAGCAAGTTTTCATTGGATCTCAGTTATCAGTTTGTGCATAGCCTTCACCATGCTCAATCTTTTTTTTACATTTAAATTCCGACGTACATTTTAATATTTGAAAGTGAAAGATTTGGCAGCCTTTGGATTATAGCCACGGACTCTCGCTTGGCCTTGGCGCCTGAAACAAATAAATAAAATCATTGCCAGGCATTATTAAAATTTATGTTGGTCTGTTTCAGAACTGACCCGACAAAAAAGAAAGAAAAAGAGAAATTTCTTCGCTTCGGTTGGCTAAACCACAACCGCTGTCAATCTCATTTTAGCGAGGCCTGCGAAGGCCGCTTTTCCCTGCTACTTACTTACATATCAAGTTGCACATGCTTTGTAATCTGTTTACGGCAGTTACCAGATAACATTGCAATTAATGTGAAAGCTTTTTACGCTGCCTTCTTAAGTCCTTCGAAATCTTTATTATGAATTTATTTCGAAGTGCGTTAAGCACCACAGAAGGTCTTTCTGATTTCATTAAGTAGCCAGAGTAGGCTGAAATTTGGAACTGAAATCTGAAATTGTTATTCTAAATCTGAATTGTTATTCTTAAAAAATGTTTTTTTTTTTTTTGTCACATTTACTTTTGGGAAACAAAGAAAATATATAAATATTGATATGGTATATGTCTGCAAGGGTATTTTATTTTCGGCGAGCTGAACGTTCGCTTGACGACTTTCTGGCTGCTATCGAGCGGTTTAATTCCAGCAGTTAGGAAAGAAGTATCTCAATTAAACATCTTTCAGATTAAGATTCGTACAAGGCGCATTGAAATCAGCATAAATAAAATTACAAAAATTCAAAGCTGGTCAGATTATTGTGCAGAAGGCGTTGATGGGTCGAAAAAAAATCAAACAATAACAACACACACACACACACACAAGGTCAATGCATACTTAATGTAGCTATGTGTGTGTGTGTGTGTGTATCTGAATTTACAACTGTAACTGTATCTGTATATAAGCCTTGTCGTCTTGCTATTGATCTAAATGATGGCCGCACATTAGCAGCGCTGCCGACGCATACAAATTAGGCTAGCCAGGAGCAGAGAAGCAAGTCGAAAAGAAAGAGAATTAATAAATTAAACCAAATGAAAGTCATTCGGCAATATGTTCCACAAAACGTTTGCTCTAGCAAAACGCCAAAACGTGCTCTGACTATTGATAAGCTTAAAACTGCCTTGGCGAAATTGGCGTGAATTTGTTTTATAGAATATCTATGAAATTTATTATGCTGCTGCCGTCTACCTCGACCCTGACATCGCCCCTGTGCCAGTTCATTAGTAAATAAAGTTGACAGCCTCGGTGTGCGTGTGCAGGGCCACGCCCACGGCCCCAAGATAGCATCACTATCTATAGTACTCTCTCTATACACTGATTTCCCCATGGCTGTACCCCGACTACTTGGCTAATCAATATGAATCTTATGCCTATCAATGGAACGGAACTTGCGTCGGCCTTCGCAACTGCCAAGCAGCAGTTCTCGTGGTTTCCATGGCCATATCGGCGTAATCAACACCGGATGCTGTGTAAATTAAGCCCGGCACTACGTGTGGACTTTCGTTTTTGCTGCTGGCCCGAAATCTGAGCTTCGCGCTTATAAGCCCTTTTGTTCCTGACTGACTATGGACATCTAAATTCCATTTGGCTGCTCGCTGTTCGCCGCATTTCGTAATCCTGGCGTCAATCGGACGTGAAATAGCGTTTCACCAAGTAAGCTCTCCACTGCAGCACAATTAGAGATAACAAAAAATTATAAACTTGAGAACTCTGTCATGAGTATTTTAGCCACAATTTGTGCATCTGTCACATTTGTCTTCATTTGGGTCCATTTCCCCTAAAGTTCACTTGCAGCTCTACGCGCTTTTTAATACTTTGCTGGATCCTGGGGACTTGTGACATTTATGTAGCTTTTAGCCTGCATATAAGTTATGGCTTAAAATGTTTCAGTTCATCTGGCTTCTTTAGTAGTGTGGCCTAAAAACTTTGTACCAAACAGTTTTTTTTTTGCTGACTGTGCAAAAAGCTAACAAAATAAATTGTGGTAATACCTACTATGTCGTAACAAATGTGTACCTGCATATGAAAGACTTTTGAGAAGCTTAATTCTATGTATTTATACTTATGCTATTATATATTTTATAAAAATTCTGTATTGACTTCTCAGCAAACATAAAAACAACAAATAACTGTTCTAGCCATAAGCCTTAGAGCATAAACCACAGCTTTTTTGCTGTGATAGATACTTCATTAGTTTAACACACGTAAATATCCCAACATCCAATATGGTATTGGCTATGTTGCGTTTAAGTGAAAATTTAAATTAATCCGACATGCAACTAAGCTGAGCTTACAACAAAACTTAAACTAACTTACTATACCTTAATGGAACCGTTGTTTTTGTGTTGTCAATTCCATTGAGGATGATTGCTTATACTAGTAAATAGTAGTTGTGGTCTGTGTGCTTCTGCATCATTAGGTGCAATTGTCTATAGACATACATACGGTTATTTGGACACATACATATGGATAAAGTAGCAATTTATATTAAATATATGTATTAAAATATATGTATATGTGTATGGTTATAGATGGGTTAGCTATACATAGCTGGATATCGACTAACATAAGAAGCATGAAAATATATATAACAATAGACACAGTAAAACACAGCTATTTAGAACGTACAAGAGCACACATATATCAACATAACAATTGATTACTTGGGTAATTGGTAAGCACACACACACACACATACTCTCACACTCTCATACATACACACTCGCATTGAATAACTCCTTTATTATCATTAAAAACCTATTTATGGGTTAATGTCAACACAGTGAAGCGAATGAACATGATATGAAATTGTAAGGATTGTTTGGGTGTTTCAATTGCTCTTTGGCAATTATGAGAAATACTGATAACTAAACACTACTCGCCAAGGATTATGATTGTGAACATACCCTGTAAGCATTGAAATGGGTAAAATGGGAACCTTGACTCTAAGAATTCTGATTATTGACAGTAGCTGCTGAAGAAAGTTGATAAAGATATAACCTGTATTAATTGTAAATAGTCAAACTATTCTTGAAATTTCACAACGATCGGATAAAAATCAGTAATCAGTTGGATACTGTTGGACATATTATGCATGCTGTTGCATATGGGCAATACGTAATTAGCGGTTTTGCTTTTGGTTATTTTTCAAGTAAGTATATTAACTAGACTCACAGACGCAGACATACATACGATAGACACATACACACACACATATACATTTAGATATGAGAACAGTTGGTTATAAGTTGGTATACATATATAGGACTGTTTGTATGTTTAGCACATTGACTAAGTGAAAGTAAATGGAAATAAAGTTTTGCGTAAAAATTTGTACTTATTGTTGAGTGATTGATACGTGAATTAGGCAAAAGTTTGTCTGCATTTGGAGCGTGATTGGAATATAAACATTTTGCTAACAAATCTTTGGTGAGCTGTCCGAAATATATATATGAAAAAGGAACCATCGAAATAAATAACAAAAATAGCTGAAATTGCTAACTGTTTGAAAGAAGGCTATGCAGCAGAGTAATTGAGCACGTTTTACTCAATTATTCGATTTGTAGATGTAGGATTTTGGCCAGAATTAGGAATATTTGGCAACGAACAACAGAAAATGAGTCGAACTTTAATATTGTAGGGCGGAGATGGCATTAGAAATCCCTTTCGCCACTTATAAAAAAGGATAGAATTATTTTCGGTATTATAAATTCATACTGTATTATGATATATATTACATATATATTATAGTATGAGAAAAGAATGCAGTTCAGGGCTCGACGCCCAGCGAATATTAAAACTAAGGAATTAATTGCAAAGCGAATAGGATAATTAAATTACAGATAATTGAATTAAGAGAACCCATTCATTTAAATGTACCTTATATTTAAAAAATAGTCTTACGGTAGTGCAGCCTAATAAGTGCAGTTTTAATTCACTGACGAAAATGGCGGTTAAAATTTGACAAGTTTTATTATTAATTTTTGGAAAGCACACAAATGCATCGATATGCTAAATAGTTGTACTTGGATTTTTTTAAAGGCTTCACCCTTTTTTATTTTTTCACGCAATCGTACTGATATAATGTGCTCAATGTTTCACTTTCGCTTTAGTTAATGAAATGAAATGTAAAGATGCGCTTAGGCGACACTTATACGTTTATTCTTGTTTAGTTTAACTAAGAGGTTGTATGACTTAAATATGTATGAAATCAGTTTAAGTATTTTTATATAATTTTGTTAGTACACATATACATATATAGTTTAATTTGTTATGTGTGGTGTAAGTAGTTGTGTGGGTGTGGGTTAGCAAAAAACGAAATGATGGAAATAGTATTTATTAAGCCAACAAAGTCCAATTTTTGTTGGGGAATTTAACATTAAGTTGGAATGGTTTGGTATTAGGCTTATTATTTTTGTTTTCATTGGTATTATTTATATATGCGTTTTTATTTAGTTGCTGTTTAGTACGAGGGATTTGATTTCTCATGCACAATACTTGAAAATCTATTTTGCCATCGATATCGTGTGGTTTTTTATATTTTTTTTTGCAAGCTACAACAAATACGAGTATAACAAATAACAATTCGTGTTTGTTCTATTGATTCTTTTAAGTCTTGTGTATTGTTTTAATGGCCAAATAAATTCAAGTACTGAACGTCTAACCAGAAATATTACACCAGCATATTGTTGAACAATTTCTTATGTTGGTTATTGTCTATTTTTTTTCGGAACTAAGTACTGAGAGCAAATAATATTCTACGTATGCATAGACTATACATATATATGTATATATATATGAAATATATAAAGTACATATGGAATAAACCATATGATGTTTTATGAACTGTTGAGGCATGACAATTAGGATCTTTCGATTGTTACGAACAAACTACTTGCATAATATTCTGGTTAAACAAAGTGTTTAAGATCATGGAGTTTAGTCTGAGTTGTTATTATTTAGTTTCTCACTTTTTCGATTAGAGATTTATATAAGCTGTTTAGCTGTTATTGTTTTATATGTAGATTAGATATTACAGATTATGTACGTTCGGTTAGCATTACGAATCCAATTACAAAGTGAGGCCCACATCAACGGCAAGCTGACAATGTACAGTCCCACTAGAACACCACTGCGTGTAAACTACTCTTATTTGAAGTAAACAAAATTTCTTTTTTTTTTTGGTTTTTTTTAAACATGTTTAGCTTAAAAAAATATATTGTATTTTTGTTAAATATTTAGTCGTTTCTTCAACATAAACATTGAAAGCAAATCAAAAGTGGGTAACATTGAAATACAAATTCGAGGAACTAACTTAAACAAATACGAAAACATAGTCGGTTATGGTTAGGGTTCGGCTTTGCCTTTAATAATAGACACTCACACAAACAATAGCGAGTGGATAATGATATGTTTATATAATATAAGAAGAAATATTTATGTATATATTATATGGTATATTTAATAAATGAAAATAAATTAAAATTATTTGTTTAGCTATAATTACAACAAATTAAATATTACATTCAAAATTTTGCGATGTGCAGGAGCAATGGAAATTCAGTCACCTTTGATTTATATATACTTTACATATAATAATACATATTTTAATCTGTCTGAATAATAATAAATTACATTTAAATTGAAATTTAAATTAACTGTCCAGAGACAGAGACAAAATTATTTTCATAAATTACAAAATTTCAAATAAGCAATAATATTATAGTTGTTAAGTAAAAAGTTAAAATAAAAGTTTCAAAATGTAAGTAGCAATCGATTAATTTAGTACATATTTTTGCAACTCCATTGCTCCTGTGAGTAAAATCTACAGAAACACAAATACTTATATAGTCTATAGCTTAGCAATCTATAGACTATTGACTAATAAGACTAAAAAGAACGCAAAAATGTTTTTCTAACAACTAAAGTGCACAAATCCGCTACATAATATATATTTCATTTGCATTAAATAATTTATAACAAAAACTTTAACGCTAGATTCAAAATATTTAATCGGTTATCACAAGATTCATAAGTTTCAAGTATCATATGACTTGGCTATTGTGATAAGAATACTAAATACACACTTACCATTGAGTTTATAATATAGTAAAAAAAATCTGATTTGTTTGACTTTTTTTTTAGTACCTAAATAGCAGTTTTCGATGACTGCGAGATGTTATAGCTCTATGTAGCGCATAATCGATAATTTTGTTTTTCTGATCGGTTATCGGTTTATCGGGCGTTATTTGTTTAATTAGTTTGTAGAAGAAGCCCATGTACCCATGGGCCCTCAACTGGATACTTGGATCACTTACCTATTGTACATAAGCACATCGGGTTTCCACAGTTTATTGGGAGTGATGCGTAAATCTTTAACGCCGCCATATTCTGTTTCGTTCCAGCGCAAATTGTAATCGTTCCATTCCTGTATTGCATACATAATAGGTTTTAGTAACAATAAAATACTTGTAGTTAGTTACAGTCTAGTTAAAAATAAAAAATCAAATGACTATAATATAAATAATAGAGCGACGTGATGTGATAAATATAAGTGTGTTTTTTTGGATGCAATACAGGAACTAAGCATATGAAAATTAAACATGCACAAAAATCATGCACACTGTACACAACAGAGCTATGTTAAGGCTCTGTTAATAGTCAAACGGCAGGCTGTTGCGATTACATTAACATAACAGTATACAGAATACAGTCGTAATATACATAATATACATCAAGTTGACGGCAAAATTGAACCTACGTTCTTGCAGTTGCTCCCCCAAAAGACACACATATACACACGGACACTCGCATACACAGACACTTGACAAGTTTTATCAACATTTTGCTGGCTGTTTTTGCTATTGTCATGTGAATGCTTGATCCTGGGCCTTGCTCTACTGTCCTGTCTTGTGTCGCTCTATCTTTTGCCCCAGGACGAGGACTATAACAGCAGGCTGCGGCACAGTACTTTTGTGTCATTTTGCGGTTGACTGTTTGCTATTCTCTGTTGCTGCGACACAGACACAGCTCGCAGCTTGCGCTTTGCGTCCTCGCCTCCAAGAAGTTCGTGTCATAAAAGCGGCAAGTTTCCCTCTAGTTGTCCCCTTATTGTCGCTGCTGCTGCTGCTTCTACAACTACTGTGCTTTATAATTTACACACACACATTTGTGGCATTTTTAGACCAAGCAATTGTTTTCCTGCGTCTGTGCAACAAATCCCTTTTTAAATCACAAGAAAAAATAAATAAAAAATTTAATTACATGCCATGACATTGCATTAAATTATATTTGTACTCATACGGACAACGGTGGCGGCGCTTGGTTTTCAAAACTTTCTACTTTAGTACTGTTTTTGTGTGCGGTTTTATGAGAGCTGTAAAAACAGATGGCGATACTACTACAGAAATATGACCGAAACTTCCCACCTCGATCTTCTCAAATGCCAAATGGACCAACATTAAGCAATTCTGTGGCGTAGCCGGGCGAGATTTTCATGGCATTCGCATTGGCAATTAGTTTCAGAAATAATGTAACGCTCGGGCCCATAGACTTTGGTTGCAGGCAGTCTAGTCACGGACAAATTTATTTTTGACATTTACAATTAAAGCGAAACAGTAAAGTTTGTATAATAAAACAATTATATTACAAAAAAAATACACTGATAAATTCCGTCGACAAAATATTTGAATTTCTAAAACACAGGCATCGGTTTTTCGACTTGGACTTGCTTTTACATCTTTTATCTTGGCTTCAGCTTTCATCATTTCCTTTATATCGGTTGGACTACATTATTAACTCAAATGGTTATTTGTTTTCCATTATTATTATTTCTATGTGTCATCCATGTAATATTGTTTCTATTTCGCTTATGTCGCCGCTATGAAAACATTCTCCACTGCTAAATCACTCTTCTCTTGACCTGATTCTAGGTTGTGTTAACTCACAATGCATTCTGTCAAAATCCAAAGTTTATTACTAGTATTCCATTCCTAGAACCATCACAGCAATTGCAATCGGCATGTAAATTAGCTGGCTGTTCTTCATTGTGTAACATTCAAATTACAAGTGTTGCGGCGAATTGACAAACATTTTATATTTCGAACTGTCAGTTAATAAATGGCTCATAAGCCATCAATCAAATTGGCATTTGGAATGCTTGCAACAGCAACCAAATGTTTTTATACTGTGTTGAGGTTTTTGGCCATGGCCAGAACCGAAAATTACGAATTACAGGCCGTAATGGCTGCCGTATTCCACGGCGCTTTTACCTTAATCGCTGCTGTGCCGGCAAATTATAAAGGGTGTACGGGGGATGTTTGCATATTCCAATCGATTTGTTAAATAAATAATTTAATTAATTTCGCAAATTGACAGAGCTTGACGAGAGTTTCAACCAGTCCGATGACCAAAGTCCAATGCCGGATATAAGCATTGATGATCACATGAAAAAATCATGGACATTTTTTTTTCCATCGTTTACGTTCAATTCTCACACACACACACCTCACATGTATAGTATATATTCAAAATAAAATAATATGAAATGATGTTCGAGACATGCACTACACTTTACGTTTTTGAGACTATTTCACGATGCAATTTCCAAAATACATGTTTATATCATGCAAATATGTTGTTCACTTATTTTTTTTTGCTGTTAAGAGATTTGTTTGTTGTTTCGAACATTGTTTAGGTGTTGGTATTTAGTTGCTCTTAATAAATGCCAAAAAATATAGTAGAAACTATAAATAAATATCGTATTTCTCCCAATTAAGCTAAAACTGATAAATGTAATAAAGTATTTGAAAGCAGTTGCTACTTAAAAATGTATTTTAAAACTAAATAGTAGAAGAATAAAATAGGAAATCAAACTGCATTATGCTTTAGCTAGCTAAAGAGTTTAAAATATGTTCTTTTTTGTTTCAGTTATGTTATGTGTAAAAATGTAGATATTTAATAAAGCGCAATGATTTAAATATGTATATTTAATTTATTTTGTATTTAAGGCATGAGTTTTAAATAATTTATCACACACGTACTGAGCCACACAATCAAGCTAATAAGTTGTCTCGGTATCATTTGAAATATTTTAGAGAGCAAGAGCCAGAGATAGACAGAGAGGCAGAGTTGAAAGAGATAAATTGAAGCGTACTTAACAGTAAGTATGGAGAGTATAGTAATTGTATATTAGAGAGTTGGCTTCATAGGAAAGTTGAATATTAGCGTAACCCATAGTTCACAGTACATTACAGTAGTTAGCTGGGTATACAGAAGTTGGGTCTATAAACATTGAGTGCTTTGTACAACTCTTAGCATAGGTTTTGGCCGTGTGTATGTGTATAAATTATGAGCAGGCAAAACCTTTCATTAGCTATGCCCAGCAGTCCGACTAACTACAGAACTATACGTGGTAAAAATAGATGTATCTTAACAACTGCTCAGCATAGCTAACAAAAAGTTTGTTTGTACTATTTATGATATGGAATTTAAAGCTTAGGATTTATTTAATATAATATTTCTATATTTAATGTTTTTATATTTAGATGACTGTTTAGTTTAAGTTGAAACTTACCAACGAAAGCCAAAGATTCGTTATAAGTAGTTGATTTTTCTCGTCCTACAAACGCATTTTAAAAAATTTGTTTACATCCAACAAAAAAAAATTATTTATGAAACAAAAAAACAAAGTAATATACAACAAAAAATAAAAGTGAATTAAGGGCAAAAGTTAAAAAGAGCAGAGCGTGATAATAGAAAGTTTTTATATATATTTGTTTTATGAGTTTACAAGAGATTTTTTTTGTTTGTATTTTTCTTTTATATTTATAGCGTCTGTATTAATGGCGTTTTTTGTAAGACTTTGTTTTTGCATTTTTAAAAAGCCTTTGCTCTTCTCTTGGCTCGATTTGGCTTTAATGGACTTGGTGCTAAGCATTTTTTATTGTTGTCTTCTGCGTATGGGGTTAGATTTGACATGACAGGTTAGTTCAAGTTACAAGTTTTGAGTTGCATTTTATGGTGTTCCTATATAAATTGAGTAGCTGCTGTTGTAATAAGCTTGTCGCTGGCAAAAGACTTAATCAAATAAACCAAAATGAATAGGAATGCTATCAAAACTTAGTTCGCTCACACAAAGCTTGGCATTGGCCGTCCAACAAAATCCAATACTCAATTTTAAGCTGCTGGTAGGTAAAAGAATGGCTCAAAAGGACATGCAATGCGGATGTACTTTGAGTGTGTCTCCATTGTGCCAATTTGTTTAGCACTTTATCAGATGTGGGCAATGTCTTTGCAATAAAAACTTTTGAACTAGTCGTTGTAGATATCAAAACCCATTTATCTTTATACAAATTTTAATTAAAGATATTTCATGCTGGCCTATTGTTAGCCAAACTGACAGACCGCCGGACCTAACAAATTGAAATGGAAATTTAATATGTAGTTCAAGGTGGTAACGGCAATTGTCGTTTGTAATGCAGATGAAGTTAAATGCCCCACCTTTTTCCCTGCCATTTTCATGTACTCCCTACTCTGCCTCTCTATCTCTCTCGAACTGACATCAGCATATGAAAGCTGAAGCCTTCAGTTGACTCCTGTCATTAATAACTTGGCAGTGAAACAAAAACAAAAACAAAACGAAAAAAAAAATTTGGAAAATCGTTGTGGCCCAAAACAGTAACCAAAACAACAACATTTTGGCCCAGTTAGTGCCTGACAGCAGCTGCAGTAACGACTTGAGCCATTAAAATATACATGGAAGGTGGGTAAGAAGCAGCCGTTCCATTCAGGATATTTCAGCACTGGCTTCTGTAATGATATGCAGGGGGTTGGAAGTGGGCCACTTAACGTTTTGGGTAAGCCAATATGCGGAACACTTTCTTTCGACATCAAATGCCATAACGTCTATATATGCACGAGTTTGTGATATGTGATATTTGCTGTTGACACCTTATAAAAATGGCGGTTTTGTGCAAATTTCATGTTTATGACAGGCAGTTTGCTAAGCGCACTTCCGCAAGAGTGTAACGGAATGCCACCCTATCCACCCATCACATCCACATCAACATACACACAGTCAGAAGTAGCTAGAGGAGCCAACGTCCTAAAGCGTCTTCGAAATGTCAACGATGCCAACGACGCATACTAATGATATTCTTTCCAATTTTTTTTCGGGGGTGCCCTTCTTGTTGACTACTTTTACAAAAAGTATATGTATTTTGTCAGAAAATATGCAAAACATTGCATTTGGCATTTTGCAGTGGATAATTTATGACTTGATCAGTATGAAATACAGAATCTATTTAGATAGGATTTTATGTTAGTATGTATTTATTTAAATTAAAATTCTATTTATCTTTTGAATGATTTTTGTAAAATAAATTTCATCAAAGAGCATTGAAAAACTGTAACTTAAGTATATTTACTTAGCGGAGCTGACTGAAATTTAATCGAAATATTTTCCAGCTTACTTAATTTTCAGCCATTTACTTATAGCTTTTGTTTTTTCTTACTTCTGGCCAACAATTTTATAAAGTTAAATCCGTCATTTGTACCAAATGACATTTGCATTAAATGCCCGCACTTTGTAACTGCTACGCTTAATCGTGTACTTATATACGTGTACATACTTTTATGTACATAATACATATGTAGTATGTGCATATCTGACATTACGCAAAGCTATAGTGAAAGTTGTCGTGGAGTCGTCGAGCACGTTGTCATTGCCTGCATAAGCTTATAGATTTATTTTGCATTAACGTGCCAAATTGTTTTTAAATGAGTTTCTAATGAGCCAACAATTGCTGTTGTTGTTTTTGTTGTCGTCTGTAGTCAGAATCCAGATCCCGCCAAACATGTATACAGAAATATATATATATATAAGCCGCCGACTTTTATGATAAATGTTTTAGTAAACTTGTCTGGTTATACGCTTTGTTCAAGGACAAAGTTTGTTAGCCTTGTCATCTGTGTCCCTTTTGGCCCCCTAACCCCATCTGTTGTTAATGTCGCGACAAATAAGTGTGTGATAAGTACGCACAGTTTGGTTGTGTGCCAAAATTGTTGCACGTGCTTTTGGCAGCAGTAATGAAATTGGAATTAGGCTAAAAGCTTTGTGTAATAAGTGGTATACGTTAATCGTCCTGATTATTTTTAATGCATCAAACATTTTTTCATAACAATCACCTAAGCATACATATTTTATAAATGTAAAAAATTTAAAAGAAATATCCCTAAGATTATGTTTGAATTAAATACCACAATGAACAATAATATAATTGTAATAAAATTGTAAGAAATATATTTGTAGTAACCTAACGTAATACAATAAAAATGAACAAGTCTAAAATTTTATTTATTTTATTAATAATCTGCAGAAAATTAATTGAGTTTCGATAAGGACAAGCAAAACCAAATTAAATCTGTAAAAATGTCAGAATATTCATTAAAAGTAGCTTTGTATGTTTCTGATGAGTTCAATTAACTGATGTAGCTTATTGTTCTGGCCTTACTATTTGGCTGAAATCTGACCATCTGCTATTAGCAGCATAAGCACACTCAAAGTGCATGTCGCATTGTTCTTCATGCCCAAAAACCTTTAGCCGTTTCCTTTTGACAATTTTCTATAGCCAGTCATTTGGCTGGCTTTGTGTACGGCTGAGAGGCAGCTGCAACCTGTGAAGTCATTACGACACATAGAGCAGTAGGGAGTGGGGAGCGGGTGTAGGATCAAATCCTGGTGTTAGCCGAAAAATGCTAATGACTTTATTTCTTAAACTGCAGCTGCTGCCTGGTTCTGGGCCACACAATGTGCATTTTAATGGTGTGCTAAGGAGGTTGGTTGGTTGGTTGGTTGCCTCTAAGTTGACGACCGCCTCACGTACACCTCTGAACGTACGCCTGGTAATTTTGCCAATGACACTTTGGCATGTGCTGGGGTCTGGTTGCATTTCCACAGCTGACTGACTGACATGACGACGCCATCAATGCTAAAGAGACCACCATCATCATCATCAACAACAACACGATAAACAAAAAATTCAACAGCAAAAAATTAAAGAGAAAATCGTTGACAGCTACTGAAAGCGTTGCAACAGTTTGGACAATTGTTATGCTTGCTTCCTATAGCTCTTTTTGTTCAACTGTGAACAATTTAATACATGGTAGTGGCAGGGTATTATGGGTAATGCAAAAATAGCTTTCATTTAGTAACAATTATACTATGAATTTGTGCAAAAAATGTAAAACTCATGTTGCTATCTGCAATCAATGTGGGTGAAATATACGACGAACGCAACATTTTAGAGAATCCTCATGGTGTGAAAATTGAGATACACATATTTCATGTGCACATGTATATTAGCAGAAGCATGTGTGGGATCTATTAATTATTTATAAGCTAATTAGTGTAATTGACAACGTGCCCGGTCAAATTTGAAAATGTCACGGCAAAAATCCATAATGTTGCACTAGGGTTGCATAATTAATGTAGTTTATACATCAATAAACTCTGCGGTCTTCCTGTCAAGCATCAATCCTGAGCAGAGCATAAATCAAATTTGCGACTATCCAAATGAGTTGCATAGAACTGCGCCCATTTATGAATCATTAGGAGTTAATACATTTTAATTTCCGCGTGCACATTAAAGCCAAATCGATGAAATATGATGTTCAATTTTAAGTATCTGTTTATAAGCTTATTCTTTAAAATTTGTGTTGACGTTTGTATATGTTTAGATACAACGAGAACACCTAGTTCAGTTGTTTAGTTAAATTTGCTTCATTTTAAACAACATGCATGCCATCTTTTCTTATTGTTGTTTTTTTCTAGTTGGTTGGTTTTGATTATTAAGTTTTTTTTTGTTTTTGGTTTTGGTTTGGCTATTATTCAATTGTTCAGAAACATTTAATGACATGTACCCAGCAAAAGTAAAACATTATCGATAAGAGATACTTGTATGTGTATTATTAGAGATACGCACACACACACACACACACACACACACACACACACACACACACATACATACATACATAGGGGTTGCAGTTGAAACACAAAAATCTTCTAGAATTCAAGAGGTAAATAAACACATAGTTTGCAATAATATTTATGAAGGTTAGTTTTTATTAAATGCTTATTAATGTTCGCTTTAATCAGTGTTTAATGCGCTCAACTCAAGATGTTTGTCTAACCGTAAGCACTCGGCAGGATATTTAGCAATCATTTAATTATTCATTTGTATAATTGTGCGCAATCAACTAAATAATGTGAATTGCTGTGATTCTAAGAGTTCCTAAGGCAAATTAAAGTCGCTATAACTCAAAATTAATTTTTTAAGCTATTCATATGTATGACTTTATTTAATTTTTATTAAAATATCATTAGTTGATCGAGTTTATTATTTTTATCCGATTTATGGTTAAATATTTAATTTATTGTTCGAACTGTTTAAAAAGCCTTTCTAATTATGTTTAGCAAAAGTTGATTAAAATTAAATTTCATTTAAGTTTAAAAGAAAATTAGCAGACGAAAAATATAATTCTAAATATGTCATAATCTATTTTTTGCATTTAGTCAGCATTAGCATTATGTCAGAAACTGACAACAGTTTAACCGCATTTCGTAGCACGTGGTTATTTCAAGCTGTCATTTATTATAATTAGTTTTTTTTTAATGTGTTTACTTAATTTGTGTGACAAAACATGTGGCACAAAAAACAAAGGCAAACATTGTTGGAAGAGAAAAAACATTTATTTAAATCATACATTTTGTAGACATTTTTTAAATTTATATATGTTAATCACACAAAGACAACGACGAAAACGCCTATGCACGCAAAATTGTTTATTAATAAAATTGTTAGAGTTTTTTGTAGGGCTTTATGCAACAATGATGCAGGTGTCATTTTAAATTTATGTTTTTAGCTTTAGTTTTTGCTGTCCGATCATCTTGTTGTTTGGCCATTTCACAACAATTATTTAGCTTTCAGTTTTAGGTGCTGAACGTCCAAAAACAGTTTGCCAAATTGAAAATTATTTGTTGCAGTCATAAATCTCGAAAATGCGAGTCAGAAAGGTGCTATTAAATTTATTGAAAAGGAGTTTTGATCACTCGCACCAGCTTCAGGTGTGCCACAAGCAAAGCGTAAAAATTGCTGCTGTACATAAATTTTATTTATCTCTTCGTTTTCATCCTCTTCACAAGTAGGGTATAAAATATCTATCATGTCTTATGACAATTTCTGTATCAGTGAGAGACTGCTAATTTAATACATAATACGTTAGCAATATTTAAGTCATTATGTTCCCGCTAGTTTCTTATTAAAAAATCTATAGTTTGAGGTAATCATCGAATACAGAGTATCTGCAAGTCCACCTTTACTTTCCAAATGACTTTTTTTGATTTATTTGTTTGTGCTTATGGTTGAAGTGCTCTATGCCAATTTAGCGATGGCAAGGCAGCTCTAACGAGCTAGAGTCCAATTTAAGGTTAAATGAAAATGCGTAAATCAAAAATTTTGGGGCTGAGATACAAGAATGAAGGCCAATTTGAGGACTAACAGGAAATTTACTACCATGTCTGAGTCTAGAAGCTTTTAATATCAAATTTATTTATTTAGTTAGTTTTCTATTTAAGTGTGTGTGTGTGTTGTTTTTTTTTTTAGCAATTTCTTTTAATAAAAGTGACTGCCATCTGCAGTTTTGTACTGACAACGATATTGTATATAGGTAATAGTGTTTCACAGCAAATGAATTTCAATTGACTTTAAATATAATATTTGTAATTTTATTCACACACATATCGAGACAACACATATTTGATAAAGGCGTTTTCGAAATGAATAGCATAATAATTGGAAAAAAATGCATGTGGTTACTGTTATCTAAAATTTGGTCACTTGTCATTTGCCAAAGTAAGCAAAAAATCATAGGAAATGGAAAGGAATATAAAATGAATAGAGCAAATAGAAAATAAGACCCTAGCATTGGATAAGTAAGACAGACAAACAGGTGCTAGACAAATTTGACGGCTGGTACATGTCACTTACCAAATTTAACCACGCATTTGTGGTCAGAATCTGATTCTTTTCGTCCTATAAAAAACGCAAGAACTCGTAAATTTAACTGTTATTGAGAGTTTTATGTTTAGGGAGATAACACAGATCTCGGAACCGTCGCGACGGCTATATGAGCATATATATAATCTCCCTTAACCATGTCCATACTTTACTTTCTGTTTTTATTTCATATTTTTGAGTTTGCATTTCATAACGAATTTTGCTACTGTCAAATCTCATGTTTACTGTTAATTATAAAGGTATTTAAGAAATAATTTTGTTTGCTAATTGATTTCTTGTATATTATTAAAACTCATAGCTGGCATTATACTCAGCGACGAGTACATGTCACTTACCAAGGCTAACCATAAATTTCTGTGGTCAGCAATTGATTTTTTCTCTTGAGAGATATGGTTAATCTCCAAGCCGTCGCGACGGCTACACATAAAAAAAAAACTCCATACAGCCTTGGAATCCTTCTCATTAATTTGTGCTTATGACTGCTTTAGTTGATTATTGCTGCAGCCGTAGCTGCTTCATAATTTTGACGGGTGTGGTCTTTTTATTCTATATCTATATAGATCGAACTTACCACATCGATGATTTGCTGTAGCGTCAGTCCGAATTTCACCTCCAGTGGCTCCGATTCATTGGCAACGGGTCGCTCCAGTGTGTTGTAGGTGGAAAGCAGGTGATTGAGTAAGCGCTTCTCGTGTGGTCCCTGACAGCTTTCTGCAATGACAGCCAACCAGTGGTTTTGTGCTAATTAGTTGCGGCTCAACTCTGATTTATGTTTATGGCATATCCAACCAAAAATTCAGCTAATACCCAACACTCACATATTGACAGCCCTCATTAGAAAGCTATTAAAAGTCTTTCGGCGCGCTGGCGTGCTGAATTTTTGGCAGTTACTTAATTGCGCAAAAGTGTTGCTACCAATAAAGGAAACGAGGCGTATGCGAAATGTCTGACTTGTGCATAAAATATGAGTACAGCTCCATGCTTTGAATTGCCGATGGACAAAGTTGGGGAGGGCCAAACAAAATTACAACAAATCATATTTCCATTCCAATGAATTAAAGGTGCCATTATTCGTGAGTACATTAAAAATATTATTTTCTTTACATTTTCTTTTTATACAATTCGTATTTGCTAGTTTTAAGACTTTAAAACATTTTTAAATGTTCCAAAATTAGCAATAAAATTACTCATACGCCTCATGTCTCAGGTCATGTCGGCATGTCTTTTGCGCATTGCGGCTGCAGTCGAGTGAGTAGGCACACAAATATGCAATGTGCATCGCAATAATTATTAACAATTTACAGAGAACCCATGACATACCGCCACACACACACACACACACACACATACATCAGTTTCATCAAATTTGGGCTGGAAACAGCCCGTCGAACGTTTGGGATTGTCTGCCAATTTTTCCTTTTGTTCATGCACCAACTGCCATTTGCAGGAAGGTTAAAACTCATACATTTTTTAACAACAAATGAAAATGGAAGGAGACTTAACAGGGAAAAGGGGGCTTGGGTGTAAGCTGAAAGCATTCGTACTTGTAAACCCACTCACAATCAAAGGTGAAAAAATGGGAAATCACAGCGCCAATTGCTACAAAGCGCAACAAAACAAACGAAAAGAAAACAAAAAAACAGCATGAGGGAAAGATCAAAACACCAAAAGAAGTTAAATAGTTTTAAATCATGCAAAAGGGCGACCCAAGTGACACACACAAACAGTGAGTGGGTGCACGAGAATGTGTGCTTGTGAACAGATGTCAACTGCAAAGCGAGGACAACTGCAAGACTAGAGAAGTTGTACAATCGTCGCCCAAGGCCAAATTGAGCAGAGCAGAGTAACTGGGTCACAAGCCACACAATACAAATAAGTCGAGTGTAATGTGATATATATATATTTATATACATATATATGTATATATATATTTATATAAGGATGCATCACTTACAATAGTCGTTTCCCAATTAAAACATAAACCAATTAGTCGATATTTTTAAGGTTTTAGTGAACGTCACGAGCCTTAAGCTTTTTGTCGTATTGAAAGCCCTGTAAAATGTGAACTACTTAAATTCAAATCTACTCTCTTTTGCGAAATGTTTCTGTTTTCAATCTCCTACTGTACTAAGATTTATTAGTGTATATGCTTATTAGTGTCACTAACAATGAAGGCAACTTCAAAGTTGTCGAGTCCTTCGAATGCTGAAATGCGGCTCATGTAATAAACACAGAATCCGTTTACAATCACCTTGACAAGTACTCGTACGTTGTACGTATGTGGTTTGTTGGTCCGTTTCAAGTGGTTTGCTCAGCCATGTCAAATTCATGGCCTGCATAATTTACAGTTAATACCAACATGACTTCGATTGCACTACCTGACAGCAACCTAATGCATTTATGAATGAGATGCTGTTTTCTGAGCGTCTGCTACCCAAACTGCTGCCCCGGTTGGTGCCACAGTTTGTTCAGGTCTGGTCAATATTTACACTGTAGACGCAGCGGAGCGGGCAACCGTTGACTGTCCTTTGTTATACCTCACTTTTTATGCCCAGACCCATTTCAGTTTCACAATTTTGCCGGGAGCTGTCACCTCTGTGCTGTCATTTTGCCTAATTGCGTGTAAATAGTTTTCGCAATTGAGTTGTCAATTTTCCGACCTGTCCTGTGTCTAGGTGAATGTGGCACGCTATCCTTTCTTATTCTCATTCTCACCTTACCCCAGATCGTATATTTTCTACTGGGTTTTACTGCTTTTTTTGTGTTCAGCACAAATATTTGGCGTGGCCGTTTTACTGGCTGTTATACGACACTGCTTTTTAAATGACAACGACCAACGTCAATAGAATCCCAAACCAGAGACACATTTGCGTCCTGTGGCTAAGGGCCGCTTCCTGAAACTGTTGAGCGATCTAAACCATTGTTAGCCGTGTATTAAAGCAACTTTATGCTATGAGAATGATTAGTAAAAGAATTTGAATACTTTTGTAACGTTTTAAAATTAAATTGATTACATAATTCTATTGGGACTGTGATGTAAAATGCGATTAAGATTTTTTTTTACAATTTGATCCTCGTTTCGATTTATAAATTAAGTTTATATAATATGCGTTTATTTCCGACAAAGTTGTGCCATAGCAAAATATTTACGCAATCGAGTCAAGGCAATCGGATTATAGATATATATTATAGATACACATATTATTGCAGCAAAGAAAAATATAAACATATACATATATACTCCCGTGCATTGTCACAAGCCTATCTATAGTATTTATCACTGAAAATTGGCTTTTGCTCTCGTGTGAGCTGTGAGTGCTATTTAAGGGAGATTCCAGTTGGCAATTAAATATATCCTCTTGCCTCAGCCTTTCGCTCATTTGCCACGAGTGTTGATAATGCACTCAAAGTGAATGAGATGGAGAGAAAGAGCGCAATTTTTATTATTGCTTTGCTTAATGATATGCAAATACATGCAGACAATGGCAAAGACAACAAACGCGACTCGAATTAACAATAACAATAAGGCGTTGTAGATTGTCTTGTAGCCTTTGTAGTTGTTACTGTTGTTGTTGCTGTTGTTGTTGTTGTTGTTGCTTGTTGCTGTTAACATTTAATTAAACGCCTTTTGCTGCGTGAAGCGCGACATGCACATCGCCTTGCTTATAGTCCTCGTAATTGCGCGCCGCTTTCACTTTTCTAAGCAAATTTTTCACGAATTTCTACAAGAGTATCTAACTTTCTATCTCTCTCACTCACACACACACACACACACACACACATATAGTCTGTTGCTGTCTCTTATTATTGTTTAATTGCAATTAGCGCGAAGCAGTCAGCTCACAAAATGATTATGACGAGCCCGTGTGTCGTCGACTCATGCATAATGCAAAGGACATGCCACGCCCCCACACACACACGCACACACACTCACACACACATTGCAATTAAGTTGCAAATGCTTAGCGCCCATTGTCCTTGTTGCTATTTTGTTGTCGCTGTCGCCGCCGCTGCTGTCGAACCGAGAGCGTGTTGAAAATATCTCCTTGAAGTGTGCGCCGCTACTTGAGTACGCCCGGTTTTCAAGCTTCTCGCGTTCCCCCTCCCCCGTCTAAGCTCCTGCTTCTCCTCGAAGTTCCTTCTCCTCGAGCTGCCTTATGCGCTGCTTGAGCTTAAGTGCTTCCCGCCTTGAGAGTGTGTTAGATTATTTTTATTTGTGTTTGTGTGTTTTTCTTGCGCCTCATTTTCACATGCTTAAGTTATTAGTTTAATAATTTGCATTGCCTATGTAGTCTAAACTTCACAACTGACTATCAAAACTCAACTGATTTTTGTATTCATAATTAGAAAATTAAAATAGTATAGGTATATTTTGTGAGTAGTTTGTTTTGGTGCCTATAACATAGGAGGTTTGCTGATATTAGTTTGTTCAATATGACAATAAGTTTTGATATATATTTTTTAAGTTCTTAAATTTTTACTAATGCTTAAATTGGTATATTAAATTAATACTAATGCTGAATTATTTTAGCTTCGAACTTTTTCTTTGGTACCAAGAAACAATTTATTTATTTTATAATTCAGATGGGAATTTTGGTATTTTCACGCCAGTTTGAAATCTAGCAATCTCATATGATAATTTCATAACTTCTATGGGAGCCACAACAGAAAGGAAAGTAATCCAATATGCTATTCTTACCGCAGTCATTTGCATAATATTCACAGCCAACTCAACTGCCAGTTTCGTAGGTCAGTTCGCGTTTTATCCTCTCTCAAGTCAGATCTGACCTTACTCATACACTAAGTAAAGCCACTTAAGAGCTATAAACAATCAACGCCCATTCGCACAAATTTCATTATGACTTTAACTACACATACGCATAATGTGACGACTTTCAGTCCCATTACTATTCTCAATTCTCATTTCGTGCAAAGAGTTTTATGTGTTTTTCAATTTTTTGGTAAGAATTTCGTTTGGCAGATATTCAAGTAGAGTCCTGCGACCTGCCAGCTTACACAATTCCGGTCATATTAAATGCATATCGTAATGCGAATGTGTAAATTTTGTTTTAGCAGACAGCGAAAAGGCAGCGTACGCTCTACTCATACTTTATACAAAAACTCTTACTCGACCGGGAGGAGGGGGTGCGGTCGGTTCAGGCCGTTGAAGTGGGGGCTTGGGGGCGGTCATGAGTTTGTGTCACGTTCGCGACTTCATTTGAAATTCATGCATAATAAGCAGCCAAGTACACACGCACACACAACACACACAAACTAAGAGATATACACACATCGACACACACACACAGTCAGGCGTACATCAACCAAAAGGTCTGTGCAACATGAGAGCTGCTCTTGGGGGTCGCTCGACTGTTGCCTGCATAAACAAGCACCCAATGTTAGAGCTAATTTTATTAAAAAGCAACGCCAACGCCAAATAGCGAATGCTGGCACGCTCCTTAGTCTCAGCCCGCTATCCCGTACAATGTACAGTGTACACCAAGTTGTAAATCAGAATTGTTAAATTCAATATACCAAAATGTTGCAAAGATTTCCTGATTAATACAATCATTATATTAGCATATCTGCAAATCAACAAAGTGCCTGTAAATGCACTCGATAAACTTTAATGAACTTGTTGAATGGTATGATTTTTAGTTAGTTGGTTCAGTTTCCACTAATCTGTTGTATTATTTCAACTGAATCGCTGT